TTGGACAAAGGTTCCAAATTGCCACAATTTTGTCTCTTGCAACTGCAACATCCAATAATATTTTATTCTACTTGTGCTTAAGAATGAAATTCAGTCATTACAATCATTTCACCCATGAATGGGCAACATCCGAGTTTATCATGACTACTTTAACTACAATGGCACTGCTAACTATATCTAACTATGAAGGAGACAAACTGTTGGATCCACAAGACCTCGATCTTTTATCGGAGATCACAGATATCCTGTAGGAGGTATACAACATGCTACTGCCCTCCTCTGAGCTCTCAGTAGCGGAAATATTAAAATCAAACAATAGTTGCAGGCTTCAACAAGATGGGACTTGTACTGCCCACAACAGAATAATGTATTTCATCCTAGAGTGAACAAACTGCCTCCAATATTATAATGATGTTAACAATCCTTTTTCCCATTCACTACAAGCAGTGTTTGAAGTGCCAATGGCTCACTCACCTAGTGTTCATGCATTTGTCACACTGTGTCACAGGTTGCCATCATTGCTAATTGGAAGTCCGCCATATACATGCAAGGGAGCTTTACTTGGTGCCATGAAAACTCTATTGCAGTATGGCGGGACTTTAAAACAATGTAATGTCTTGTGGTGGATTGTCATGCTAGATAACATATCCTTCACTTGTGAATCAGTAGTCTGGCAAATCAGCCTTGGATAATGTCATTTTAGCTAGATATCTGTCAGAACCAATATTCTAAGCACTCCTAAGGTCAAAATTTGTGTGACTTTTCATTCCCAATGCTAGCACTGATCAGTGTATCAAATCATCTCCAAATGGTATATATTGTATCATAACACTTGCACAACACAATCATTTAAAACATAAAAGACATAGAACTACTCGTTAACAATGCATAACCATTTAATTACACTAGACAAGAACAATTCACAATGATTTGCATATGCTAGTTCAAAAGCACGAACACTAGATGAGCATACAAAATTCAGTCTACATCAACATTGCCTGTGGCAGTGTGGCTAGTACTTTCCAATTGTGGCTGAAAGTTCAAGTTCTTGGTCCACATTTTGATCAAATGCATTATCAAACACTTGTGTTTGACTTACATCATCTCATACATCCTTCTCATATTGACAATTGTTATACACAACCAGTGCTTGCTTTCAGACTTTCGAACATCTGCATTTGATTTACCTCCATTTATACATTCCTAGTCATCCCATCAAACTCTTGCATTTGACTTACATCCTTGCAGACATCTAGCTCATAATTTCCAGCTAGTCATATTCAAATACATTCCTTTCCCATTCTTGAATGCAACTCTGAGAGTTGTCCATACCCTCTTCACAGACAGCTGTATCTTAACTGGGTAATTCCTCATTGACATACAATGTCTAAGCAAAGCCTTTGTCATCCCAATCTGGCAGGGCTAGATCCAAAGGTCATGGCCTATAAGCAGCAAAATGATAGACAGAATTTAAGAGACAAAATCCTGCAGAAGAGAAAAGGCTATGTGAAAAAATACCATGAACAAACACCATTTGTGGGCAGCTCAGAAACAAAAAAAAACTTGAAAACACTAGATTGAGCAGGCCTCCTCCAAAATGGTGGCATGTCCTGTCATCCAGGGCAGTCCAAAACTAAGGTGACATTGAGAACATTGAGAATGCTGCTGGTCCTTCAAACTCTGGCAGACTGTTACGACAAACGGTCGTGTGTGACTAGGATAATCTAACAGCGACAACCATGACAGTGGTACCGAGTGCTGAGAGTCGTCGGCCTTTACAGACAAGCAAAGGTTGCGTACTCGAACGTAGCTCGTGGTGGTTAATGAGGGGTTACGCTGAGATGATAGCGGTTTACAGACAGTGAGAGGCGTCACTGAAGGTACGAGTCGATGTCGAGCAGGTAGCTTTAGTGGGACAAGGAGTTCAAGGGTAAACCTAGTAAGATTAAAGTAAGGAACGTCTACTTGTAATCTTCGACCTTATATAAGGCTACTCTTCGTATCTAAGCTCAGCCTAAAGCTGGGTTCTAATCTGCTTATCTACATGAGTCAGAGATAGCGTCCATGAGGCGGGCTTCTATCGTAGATAGGGTCCATGCGGTGCCCTTCTATCAGTACATGCGGCAGCACGAGGCTTGCCTTCTATCATCCTCGAGGCAGCGCGAGGCTTGCCTTCTATCTTGATAACATAAATAGGTCTTCTAGACCTATGTCGTCATGTGTCGTCATGTGCGGTCCAGACCGCTTATCTAAGCCGGCAGTTGCCGCTTATCATCTATCATCATCTATCGTCATGATCGTCATGGAGCTGGTGAGACTCCAGTATCGTCTATAGCCGTGCGGTGGCAGAGGGCTGTCTGCTGGCGGGGGACTCATGTCATGTTACTGTAACACAGACAGGTTCCTTCAAATGTTAAAAACATGGCAGGGCCTTCTTATCATGTCTCATTTGATGATGCCCTCATTAATCCCACCCAATGCTTAATCTCTGCTGAAATATCGGGTTTGACCACTAAGTATCTGGAAACGGCTCCCTCCTACTTAGATGATGAAAATACTCATAGTCAGTCCAATATATATGTAAGTACATAGAAATCCGGAACCCTATAGGCAAAAGTAGCGACCAAAGATTTCAGGTCCAAAGTACATGTAAACTAACACGAGGCACTGCGGATGATGGGAAAACATGTAATAGTGCTGGCTACGATGTGAGTAATGTGCGAAATAATCAACTACACACCTAGTGGGGCTAGCAAGATGGGACGGGACACGGATAGAACAAGTGTGCAGGATTTTGGGTCGGCTGCTGTGGCCAAAACATCGGGTCTGCTAGTCAAAGTGTCGGGTTGTGCAGGTTAGTATTGGGTTTCATCAGGAAGTGATGGGCATTGGATGTGTATCGGGAAATAACTGGATACGAGCTCAGCGCAAGCTCAAGTGCTACATCGCACTAGGCTCGTATTCAGCCATTTTCCAATGCATGTCAAATGCCCATTGCACATGAATCACTTCCCAATGTTATCCGACACTCATCCGCTAAACCTGATGCTAATCTGCTAATCCAATGCTAATCCAATGAACCCAATGTTTCCTGCGCATTGGACCCGATGTTTTCCCGTGCACTTGTCCTCCCTATGTCCTGTCCTGTTGTATCTATCCCCACTAGGTGCACAGTTATTCATTTTCACATTGCTAACATCGTAGAACATGTTATTACATGTCCGCAGTACATTGTGTCTTATTACATAGGACATCGGACCCGAAAATCAGTGCTACTACTTTTGCCTATAGTGCTCCAAAATTCTACATAGACACTATATATTTCGCATACCTCCTACCTATTTACTTTACCTTTCTACCTCTGAATAGGAGGAGGTCATTCAATATTTAGTAGTTCTTAGCTGAATTCTGCAATATCATCCTTTCTTTATCCAAAACATCTAACAGTAACCCACCATTCGCTATATTCCCGACGCTAACCTGATGCAACCTGAGGCAAACCCACTAACCCAAAACCCAAAAACATCGGACCCGACGTTTTTGACATCAGACTTGTAATTATACCTTCGGACTATCTTCCTTTTGTTATAACTAATTATTCTAATACCATACAGCAAACCCCTTGGGTCGAACGCACTTGTCTTGAAGTATTGCAGACTAGGCTGTGCACGACCACAACACTTTTTTTATATTGCTGGTTACTTACTTCATGGAGTGTCCAGCAAAAATTGTTGTATCTCTACAACGGACTACATGTCCATCTTCACCAGTCACCACATGCGACATATGTGTCATGATGAATTCACCACCCAACCATCCCCTCTCATTTCAAGATTACCCATTGTCTCCCTCGCCAGCCTTGTTCAATCTCACTGACATCGACTCTTTCAACTTAGTAACTCCAAAAATTGGCTCGCAGGTTCACGAAAATTCACCAACAGTCACATGGAAAAGGGGCATAACGACCATGCTGCCATATATTTACAAGAACAGTGGAAACATACTGCAACACGACACAAATGTGGTCATATATATTGCCACACTTCCCGAATCCTGTCGGTTCATCTACACTGCAGTGACTGGCGCTTGAAGCCACGAGAGCTGCACCAAAATATCACCACCAAGCTTTGCCAAAACAAAGCTGTTGTCCTTTGTCAATGCAACCAGGTCACCATGGATGAACCTGACCTCAAACTCTAGTATGGATGAGGCAGAACCTATATCCTTCAATACCCCTTGACACCAATATCAAAAGACACACTTTGCAGACCAGGGAGGATGCAAGTGTCACATCAAAAACATTGACATACCTCTGATACTAGTTGAGTTCATGGCTAAGATGAACTATCAGTAGTGTCATATCCCGCATTCCAGACCCGGACCAATCACGCAATCATCTCCAGACTTCCGGACTTCTGGGTCCGGTTAGCTTCTATCTTCCATGCCTTTTCCCTTTAGTATTTCCCTTATCAGTTAGTATGCTTTATTTTCTGTCCCTTATTTATTTCTGTCTTCATTTTACTAAGTTCCGATAGACTAGTGTTAGGTGTTCCACATGCTCTGTGCATAGCCTCGCATAGCCTCACACTGCACTGACTGAGTCTCCATTATGTCCTTCATAGTATATAAACCCTGTAAAGTCTCTGTATTTCCTCAGTTTGAATATTATCTTAGATTCTGCTCATTCCCTCCTCCATCCAACTTGAAGTCTCTTCTCGTTGTCTCCGACAGTCTTAGGATCGACTCCTATTGACTTACCACCTCTGCCTCTACCTTAGGTAGTCCTCCGCTGTTTCCTTTCTAGTTCGGACTTTTTCCAGATTAGTCTTATTGCTTATTTCCAAATGTCCACCAGAATTCCCGCGCATCGGACTCTGGACTCCGGATGTCGTCCATTAGCCCTCAGAAGTTAGGGGCACATACTTGGGTAAGGGGCGCAGCGCACAAGCTGAAGCCAAGCCCTTCAGATACGACCCTTGAGCACGTTCTTAACACTTTTTATGTGTTATTCAGCTTATGATCCAAACCTACAGACTCTCATTCCTGATGTGGATATGACAAATGTAGATCGCTTACTCAACACAAGTGCTGAAAACCTCAAGGCTGAGATGATTACCATTATGGAGGGGTTTGGGCTTGAGAAGAGCATGATAGACAAGGCCCATAATTCCAAATCCGAACTACTGCTTAACTGGTCTGCTGCTGCTATGCAGATGTCCTCCACCATTTGCAACACTGCCTACTTTCATTACGTTGATTGGTTCAACTACAAATATAACAACAAGCATAAGAGTGCTACTCAGGATACTGCTGGCACTGGCACAGAAGTCTCCGCCGAGTCAGCTCAGACCATCACTCTGAGTGCTACTCAGGCTACTGTTCATACTGGCACAGAAGTCTCTGGCAAGTCAGCTCAGATCATCACTCTGAGTGCTCCTCTTGCCAGCGGTTCCACTGAATGTGACTTGAAGAAGCCAAAGGTCTCAAAAGACTCGGAGGAGACAAAGAATGCCACTGGCAGCTTGAAGAAGAAGCAGAAGAAGAGGAAGATGAATGGCAAGGTGAGTTCTACTAGTATCTGTGATTGATCCTGAATGTTTGTGCTAAGTCGTTGTCTCGCTAGTAGGATTTTTGAGCCTGAGTGATCTTTGTTTTGCACTGACATTTGTTCATTGCATCTCACCATAGTACTACTGACAATGATATAGCACTAGTACTAGCCTGAGTAGTACTACTTTACTTGTACTAGTATCTTCATTGCCAACTGTTGTCCATGTTGCATCCACCATACCATACAGTACAATTACTATGATATTCATTCATCATGCTGCTCCGAGTCATATGTTTTTCATGGGATAAAGATTAAAAAGTAAAGTAAAGAGCGGGTGATATTAGAAGTGTTGGTACATGCTGTTGCTAGATAGACACTAGCTAGCATAATGCCCAACTGCCCGAACTGTCTAAAGAAGTTCAAGGATGCCTTGGGTATTACACGTCACCTAAGCCAGCCCCTTGTATCATGCCGACAATGTACTACCGTGGAGTTCACAACTGCAGCAGAAATACTCAACTCATTGAACCGGCATGCATCTTTTGAATCCAATTGATCATCATCACACTCTCAGTCTTCTGCTCATTCTGCCAGTGGCAGACTCGGAACTCAAAGTCCTCATGGCTTCTCAATGGACTTAGATCTGCCACCAGCATGGAACCCGGGCCCTAACTCAGATGGGGATGATATGGTCTACCATGATGAAGAAGTGGACATGGAAAATGATCTTCCGATTCCCAATAGAGAGACACTGGGTTGTGGAGCTGCAGGGGGGCATTCTATGCGATATGAAGGTGCTGCAAGGATACATGGATGGGGCCTGACTTTCCTGGAGTGGTTCAATGATGATGTATATGCACATTATCACAACAATAACTTGTATTATCTATTTGCATCCTTTCAGGACTGGGAGCTCGCTAGTTTTCTACTGTCCTCAGCATTGAGTATGGCAGCCATAGATCACTTCCTAGGGTTAGAACTGGTATGTTTTCCTCCACTGACTCTGAATCAGCTTGGAAATTAAGTCCTTGACAGATCAAAGCCTTACCGCTCTTCTTTCACACAGCAAAAGAGCTATGGAGTCGTGCTAAGCTTCTACCCTCTGGTCCCAAGTGGCAATATCATGTTATTTCCACCAATCATCCAATGAAACTACCTGTGCACCTGTATTGGTGTGATCCGCTGGACTGTATTGAATCCCTCTTCAATAATTCGAGATTTGCCAAGGGTATTGACCTCATATCTGAATGCATATGTACCACAGCGGAGCGTACAGTATGAATATACAGCAAATGGATGACTGGCAAAGCAGCCTGGACAATGTGAGTTCATACCTTAGTGTTTAGTGTGATTACTTGTCTAACTTCTATTGCTCTATCGCAGTCCAAGCTTCCAGAGGAGTCTACATTGCTTGGTGTAATACTTTCCTCTGATAAGACCAATATCACAAACATGACCGGCAGACACATCGCTCACCCCCTCCTCATCAGTCTTGCCAACATCAAGATGGCAGTTCAAAACAAGGCATCATCACACACTTTTCTTCTCACAGCCCTGCTTCCCATCACTGAATTTTTGCATCCAGTCAAATGTATGCAAGGTGTTTGTTCTAGAAGCTCGCCTAATCCATCAGTGTCTTGACATTATCCTCGAGCCACTCAAGCAGGCTGCACACATTGGATGTATGATGTCAGACCCAGTCAGAAACCTTAGATATTGTTTCACTCCCCTGGCTTCATATATCGTGGATACACCCGAGGTGGCCATGCTTGCCTGTGTTCGAGGAGAGACCTCACCATGGCTTCATATAAGCAATTCGGTGACGCCTTCCAACACCCCCCACACACAGCCAAAACCACCCTTACACAACTCAAGAGCATCAAATCTATAGTTGACCCTCTAAATGTTGAAGCCTTCTTCACTGCATGTGAGCCCAACTGCCTCAGCGGTGTTGCTGATCCGTTCTGGTGTGACTGACCATTCACAGATCCAAATTTGTTTCTGACTCCAGAGGCCTTGCACCATTGGCATTGCGAATCCTATGATCACGATGTACAGTGGTGTATTAAAATTGTTAGTGTGGAGGAGCTCAAATTTTGGTTTTCTGTCTTGCAACCGCTTGTGACATTCTGACATTTCAAACAGGGTATCTCAACGCTCAAGCAAGTCACCAGAAGAGCGCAGCGGGACATACGGTGTTACCTTGTTGCTGTCATCGCGAATGCTGCACCTCCGGGTGTTGTCATAGCTGTCTGTGTGCTAATGGACTTCCGTTACTTATCTCAAGCAGTAACCATCGATGAAAAGCAATGTCAGAAGATCCTTGACACTCTCAAGACATTTTATGACCACAAACATGAAGTTATTGTGCACGGTGGGCATTGGGGTGCCAAGAGCAAAAACATCCTTGACAACTGGTACATTCCAAAGCTCGAATTGATGCAAAGTGTTGTGCTGAGTATCTATCAAGAGCAGAGTCAACAAATAACCAGAACTATGATCCCCAGATATGTCGATATCTGGATCACATCAAAAAATGTCAACATCTTCATCTTGCGACGTCTATTGCTGAGCAATCGCAGTCTCAGACACACACTGCCACTGCTGGATATAGAGATGGTTCGGATGATGGGATCAATGACGATGAGAACACCGATGAAGCAGGTGATATCCAGGCTGCCATTAGTGATTTCTGGGGGACAGGATGTGTTGTATCGAATTTCTTCAAGAAGGCACAACTTGCCTTGTTGTCCACCACAGCGCCCAGACCACTCCGCACGTTTGTCATTGGCTCCACTGCCATACATCTCAATTTTGATCCCTCGTTACAATGCCAAGCTATCGATGATGTTGCTGAGAAGTTCTGTTTGCCCAACTTGCAAGCAGCACTCACCAATTACATTCAATGGGAGGGTCAGACTGTTCAAAACCTCCACAAGTTGACAGGACAACATCAAGCATCACCAACCACGAATCTTCCATTCAAGCATCTTAATATTTGGTTTAAAGTATGTGTGCAGCAGACACCACACCACAGCAGGTCAGCCCTTCTTCCTGCTCTGACGGTTAATGTGTCTCCGCCAGATGCCAATTGGAAGCATGGCTGCTACAATGCTGCTATATTTACTGTTGATGGCACAGAACAATGGCCCACTAGCAGGCTTAAAGATAACTTAATATGTTCTTCAGTGTTATTTGTTCTGAGGTACAAATCTAGGACATATTGTTGTTGAGGTTCACCTCATTATGTTACCAGTCTCACCACCAGGCAGAACTCTCCCATGGGCTGCACGTTTCCTTACTTATGTCCAATGTCTCAACATAGTACCTCAGCAACGCGGAATGGTATTGGACTGCACTACGCAGATGCATGTTCTAAAATGTGCTACACATACAGGAGCAATGCCTTTTGGGGACATCCTTCCCCTAGATCAACTTCGCTCCTTTGCTCACATTATTCCCTGCTTTGGTCCTGTCGCTGATACTCATCTGACGCCACAAAACAGCTCTAAGTTTGCTCAATCATTTTTGCTCAACAAGTACATCAACAAGGATTTTTATCATACTATCTCCAAGTCGAATGCAGCGGCATAGTAATATTAGGTCTATGTATTACCTTGTCCATACCAGTTTTCTTTTGAAAAAAAATTCATGCTCTGTGACCACTGTATCATGCTACAGGCCACTATATTACCGGACCACTAAGACTTGTCTGTAAGTGCGCACTGTAACCTGCTGTAATATAATTAAGCGCTAATATTAGATTTTAGTCAGTTGCTACATATCACTGTGGATGCTGTAAGTTACCACAGGTGGCTGTACTTGGCTAGGGCACTATGTTATTTTTGGGGTTTTGCTGATGTTGCACAAAAGCTGCGTGAGTGTGCTATCTTTATCTTTCTCTGACACAAAATCTGGTTTGAGGCCAGATTAATACTGCTAATTTGCAGAGGACATTCATGAGGTCAAATTAACATATGTAAATTTGCATAAATTTGCAAGCCAGCTAATTAGCACTGTGATGCTCGGACCTGCGCTGGGCAGCAAATAGGCCATTTTGATACTTATGTCAAGGAGCATAGAACACTATGAGTTTCCTGTCCTCACACATTCATTATCCTGCAAATAATCTTGTCTGAAACTGAACCTGTTTTTCCCATGCTTTGCACATCCGCACTTTCCCACACATCAGCCGCATCAGACACGTATTCCCACGCTTTGGATACCTCAGAAATGCATTAGGAAGGTCTCTTGTCTAGCCATAGTCTATCCAAACCCCATTGGTATGTGAATTTTCTTACCTCGAGGCTTGTCAAATGTGTTGCAGCCTTATTACATGTTCTTACATATTTCCTATATTTCCTATCCCTTTCTTCTCTGAGTGAGAGTCTAGACAGTATAAGTTGACTATTACTCAGGACTACTTATGACACTTTCCTCGTACTGGATACCTCTTCCTATAGGTTTACCTTCGAAGTAGTCCCTTGTAGTGTGCGCTTTTTAGCCCCTATTGGGTTCCTTATACCTCTCTATATCTAGACTTTCCTTACCTCACAATATACCTTTGCCCTCACTCTCTAAACCTCGTTCCTTGATATTTCCTATACCTTGTCTGCACTTTCCTGCGCTTTTCGCACCTTCAGCCGCGTGTTCCTGCGCTTCAGATAGCCTCGGATACATTCTCACACCTCGTGCATTCCTTGTCCACTGTTTTCCCGTGCTTAGCGCACTCTCAGGTCACACATATCCACAGTCATTCTAGTAGCAATTCCCTTTAGAGTTGAACACATCTGTTTAGACAATGGCCATATGTTCTAGGATTTTGCATCAGGAAGTGCCTCTAACGATGATGACAAAATAAGCAATGATGTTGTGTCCAGGGAGTGGGATATCTGAAGAGGTATGCTTGCAGAAAATAGTTTCATTTATGTCCTGCCATTGAACAAGCAGTTTTTTGGTGGGTTTTTTTAATCTGTACATTATGAGTGTGATTTGAAGTTGTTGTGCTAGTTAGAAACATGTCCCTCAGGCTTATAATGATACCATTGTCAAATTTTAATATGATCTTGAAGTATTCCAAGATTTTGATTAATATGGTAAGGAGAGTTCAGCCATATGATGATAGACATTGTCTGTTCATCTGCCCTAGATACAGGAGCTGCAGAGAACATTTTGATTGTGATAATCTGGCAGATATAGTTAGAAATACAAAATGATGGAAACATATATGCTCACTGGAAGTATATCAGCAAGTTCATCTCCTAACTTCAACAGTGCTTACTAGTAATCATGCAGGGTCTTATTAGAGCATGTCTTGTGATTGAATGGATCCTCAGCATAGAAATAAGCCTTGAGCTGATTCTGAATATGAGCAAGTGGTTCTGCAGGAGTCAGATGTGTGAGTGTGTGAGTGTGGGGTTTTGACATTGCATCTCAGCTTTTGGTTTAGTATATTTGGCTATGTCATAAACATCACCATATCCCTGCTGCAAAATGTTTTGAATTCCAAGAGCTGCTCACTTCAATATATCAGGGGGAGGTTTTGATGTACATGTAACAATGTTGTTCTTGCTTTGCTAATTGATCAGGATGAGATGTATTATGAGTATATGCCCTCCAGACATCTTGGGCTTTGGCCCAAGATCCAATAATAGCAAGAAGCTTGGAGAGTTCCAGTTTAAAGTTCAACCTTGCAACTCCTGAGATGAAAAGATCATTAAGAGACTCATAAGAAAAAAGATTATCATTATGTCAAGTAGACTACTATAACAAAGATAATACTCACTGCCATGTTAATTCCAAGATCAGTATCTTCAACAACAGCCTGAAATGCTAGCAATCTACATTGTATTGATAGTGCTGTCCAATGAAAAATAAGTGTCACCAATTACTTCTAGCCTATAAGAGACTCCAAGACTAGCTTGTTTGTGATTATAATGCTTCATCATGTAGCTCGAGCAACTCATACAGGCCAATATCATCTGGACATGTTAGAAGACCTAGAGGAAATGAAAATGAAAACTGTAAGTAAACCTCAATAAAAACAATACCCACTTACATCCTCAAATTCAGGCAAAAAGCAGATATCCTTCACAGCCAGATTAAGGAGATGACACACATCTTGAAGGTTGATTATGTAGGGGTAATACTCACAGAGTAACCTCTGAGCCTTTGTTGTATTTCCTGTATGATCTGACATTGCTGCACAGAAGTTTCATGGCCCAACATTTTTAATAACCTAATAGTACAGTCAGTATATCAATTGTTGCTAAATTAAAATGGAACACCTACATGATCAAGGGCCTTGACTGTATAATTTGCTGGGTGTGATAGACAAGAATCATTATCCAGTGTCATGCAAAAGCATCATTAATCTGCAGTTGTGACATGGATGGAGTGGAATGAACCAAACAGTAAAAGTTTAATGGAATTAAACTGCTTGTCCTTGACAAAGGAATGTCCCCAGATGGTGTTCATCATATTGTCATTCAGATTGTTTGGCATACCATCAAATATAGTATGTCTGTTCATAAGCAGAAGATACTTGTCCTTCACTTGTTGAATGAGAGTTTGGATACCCTGGCAAAATACATTGAGATACATTCTCTCCACTCCAACAGATAGTCACTGGAACTCTGGGTCAAAATAGACCTTTGGCTCTCTTTGCTGGTTCAAGGCCAAGGATGAAGAACATTGCTAGTATTAAAACAGCATGTTGAATGTGTTAGAACGTCCCATAGCTAAGACCTCATTATGAAAGTGCTCGCCTTAAATAGACAATGGAGAAAGGAATGAGCTATGCTCACAAAGTTACAAGAGGGACTCACTCTATTTCTCCAAAGTTGCTATTCTTCTGATACCATGACATATGAACAAGTACAGTGCCATTTACAAAATATTTCAATTTTGCAAGATCTGGGGACAGATCATTTGCCTCATAGAAGTTTTTGTCATGTCAAAGTGCACATTACCAGATAAAGCATTGTAAAACATTAGCCCATGATTGACCTCCATGAAAACTGGGACCATATGAACTCATGGAACTTTTTGATATTTTGGTTATTGATGCTCATGTCAGAGGATGTCATGCCCTAGATGAAAATGTTCAAGACCTTAGTTTGGGAGACATTAAGATTGAATGAGAACTTGGACTCAATGCCCTGTCCAGAATGAAGTTCGATAATTGCTTAGATGAGGAAATTGGATGCCAGTGTTTACTGTCAACAGGTGGTGGTCAAAGATCAATATTATGAATGAAAAAGAGTTACTGATGACTAGCAAGTGACATTGCTGCCATCCAACAGTATTTTTGCTATAGTGAGCTTCTTTGGATTGTCATCTAGGATGGTGCCAGCCACATGAAAGTGATTCACTACCAGTTTGCTTATAGCCTGGAAAAGACTGTGATATCCAGTGTTGTGGTGCTTTCCCTTCAGTTTTTCCACTGCTTTGACCTTCAAACATCGACCATGAAAAAATCCTATGACATGACTTTGAGCAAGGGCCTTTGCTCTTCAGAGGTCAAAATTTCTGGTATCACAGGTACATCAAGAGATGGATGGAAATTGTGCATGAGAAGAGTTCCGAGGTTGTTAGTGGGTGTTCAGACCGTGCACAAAGGGTAGCACTGATTCTGAAGGGCTTGGCTTCAGCTCGTGCGCTGCGCCCCTTACCTGAGTATGTGCCCTTAATTGCAGATGACATCCAGAGGAAGTCCAAGGAAGTCCGTAGGACTTCCGAAGGAGCGTGGGAAAGTCCGGAAGAACTGTCCAGATCCAGATGAGTGCGAGAAAGTTCTGGAGGGGTGCGGGAAAGTTCCGGAGGAACTTCCAGAAATTACTATGAGGTTTCATCCTGGTACAGATATGTGTAATGGCTACTTACTCAGGATGAATCCTGAGTAGAATGGATACAGAGGAAAGGCTGCAGGGACAAAGTCCGAAGCAGAATAGGTCTGGAGGAACTTCCAGAAACTTGGAGGAGTGTAGGATCAGAGGAGCAGAGGAGCGGAGCGAGCTCCGGCCTAGGGAGGAATCCCTAGGCCTGAGATGGATATTGACTAAGTCGGAGGACTAGAACTAGTATGAGGACTTAGTGTGAGATCTAGTGCGAGGACTAATATGTGTAATATTCAGACTAAGGAAATACAGGAGTTTCTACAGGGTTTATGTTACGACTGGGGTATGTCGAGCTGTCTTAGTCCGAGTGGACTGAGATTCGGCGAGACAGACATGGTTCTTCTCTCGAATGAGAGGTCAGAGGTTTCTGGCTAAGGCAAGTATTGGCGACTTCCTTAGAATAGTGGTTCTTAGATAGCAAGGTTGGAGACCTTGCTAAAGGACTAGTTCCAGGTAGAACCCAGTAGATTAAAGTGAAGAACTACATGTGGTACGCTACATATCTATATAGCGAGAGTTCAAGCGGAGCTTGTAAATGCGTATCAAGATAGAAGGCGGACAGCCCACTTGGTAGACGATAAGAGATAAGAGATAAGAGATAGTAACCATGGTGCGGACAGCCCGCTTTGATAAGAGATGATTGGCTAAACATAGTGATGGTTACTAGCATGGAAAGTCAGCTTGGCGATGATATGAGTAAGGGTCTGGAAAGTAATTGGTCGTTCATCAACAGCTGTGTTTAAGTACCATTGTCCGGTAACAAAGGAGAAGCGAAGAGAATTAGTGTGCCGTAACAGTTTATATACAATGGAGGACATAATGGAGAATCAGTCAGCGCAGTCCGAAGCTAGGCAAGGCTGTGGACAGAGTGTATAGAAAAGTCAAACACTAGTCTATCGGAAAATAGTAAATGAAGATGGAAATGAGAACATAGGAAAATAAAGGCGAAAATGAAATGAGGTACGGAAAATGAGTATAGACTAACTCGAGAAGGAATATACAAAGGGAAAAGGCACAGAAGATAGACGCGGGTCGGATCTGGATGTCTGGATATCCGGAAACAGGTGATTACCATAAGAGGATGAGCACTGATTTAAGGTTTGGGTTCAGATATGAAGCATAGGTCGGATCCGGAGATCCTGGCAAGTGGATATCAGATTGAGTGTCCGGGTTTCAGATCTGGATGTGTGGATATGCAAAGGTACAGGGATCCGGGTGTACAGGCATCTTGACAGATAAAGGACATGGACAGGGGGTCTGGAGGTCCAGATGAGGCATGGGAACATTGTCGGATGTAGGTCCGGAATACGGGATATGACAGTGGGAGCCAAAGTGATTGGTTCCATAATGAAGTATGATCACCTAACTGAATTGAAGAGTTTTTACACAGAAACCTGCTGGTACCTTGCATTAACTGGTGTATGTTTGTGGATCAGTCTGGCATATCATTTTATGGTATCCAGGTCGCAGACAGCATAGTAGCAGTCTGTTGATATAGTACAGGTTATGCCAACACAGGGAGATGTGATCATCTGGAATATGGGGACACCAGGTGCAGGAAGCTTGACCTCTTCTGGTCTACCATAGACATTTTTGTCGGCACAATATTTGGTAAGTTCGTCTAACTCTCGTATAGTGACATAATGATTGTACTTGTTCTTGAGGTGGCCAGCCACCATGTTACCTGTAAGTGGGCTCTGGCAGCCCTGAGTCCTACACATAAAAATCTGAGGACATCATACATGCAAATACCTAAGGCATCTAATAATGGAGTTGACACCAGATAGTCTATGCTAGGTTGAAGAGTTACCCTTTCCTTCTCATAGGATCCTATATGAAGTTGGGTACTCAATATGGAGGCTCAGGGTCTGGGAAAGATGATGACCCACCAGGAAAAACATCACTATCCATGATCTGTGCATGGTCATGGAAAAGGCTGATCCTAATAATAAATTATAGAATTCAGTCAAAATCAATTGAAAAACACAAAGACACACCAAGATTGGTGGTGCATGTCACTGCCTGTTACTGCCTGTTGATCATCCTGCATTTTCAAAGGGACTATGATAGACCCTTGAGAAAATACCAGATTGAATGAAAGTAGCAGAGAAGAAATGAGAGCAAGTACACACCAAGAAGTATTCAATCAGTTAGTTCCAAACACTAACACTTTCAGTTTGGCGTCCGACCACCACCACCATTACAGTGACACCATGTGATATTATACTACCTAACTTGGTAATTACATTGCACTGAAAATTTTTACTGTTGAATAAGAGTTGCATCTCAATATTCACGTGTCATTGATGTGTTGTATGCACCATGACAAGGCAGAAACATATGTGTATCAATTCCTGAGTAGTATCATACAATTAGAAGCTATAAAATCCATGAAAACATGAAGTAATAAGTGTAAGAAAGCAAATTCATAGCAAGTGAGAGTCATGTATATGTAGTGACTCATGAAAAGCATGTAAAGGAAATGAAACAAACAAACAATGCAAATTTATAAGCTTTATCTGTATTTGCAATGCCAGTGTTATTACCTTTCTGCTTGCGAGAACTAGACCCAACTTGAACATTTTCCTTCTTGCCCTCAAGAAGAGGGATTAGCCATTGTGATATCGGAATATTGGTGTCTTCTTATTTGAGAGCGGTCAGCGTGAATGAGGTGAGGATCTGCATAGGGAGAGGATGGCCAATGAGTTCCTCTGGATGTGTATACTGAAGATGGACTTCTTCAAGGTGTTGGATCATGCTATAACACCAAATAGCATCAATGAATTGTCACACCTTTTCCTGTAGGCCAGCCTGGAACTATATTGTATCACTCACTATGGCCACTCTGTAAATCACTTTAAGTAGGGAGCCCCCTGCTTAAGAGGTAGGTATATATCACCTTTTCATGAGTCCTCTGCTATTCTACCATAGTCCAGAATATAAAATTTATTTTACCTATTGTAAGGAAGGAGCCAATGTTTCTCATGAAATTAACCTATATTAATTATTAGGAACCAACTGTGCTTTTGTTGAAGGTCTCTTACACCTCCATGTATTGCACCAACTGCATGATCATTAATGGCTACCAAGTACTATATACAGCATTGTTCAAGACAACTATGTATTATAGATGTTGCTACAATAATAAAACAAGTAAAAGAACAACAACATGCTAATGTTTTCTGAGTATAATCAAAATAGTGTTGTAAAAACCATGGTAAACATACTGAACACAAGCTGACAAGTGAATTGTTGTAATCAAACTTTGCAACATTTGTCAAAACCACCAAACATGTGGCTAGAGGCATAGCTATCCGAAGGATTACCAGAGGAAGTCTAAATAGTCTCAGATTACTGTATGTCCTAACATGAAGAATTACCTGCTTGCAGTCAAGGTCCACTAGTAGGTGTGTTTGAAGGGCATTTCTAAGATGTACAGCATACCATGTCCAAATCAAACTTAATGAATCAATAGGCAGATAGTGCAGGTGATGTTGTAGTACGAGAAGGGTCAGATTATGGGGGTGGGATTGAAGCTCCAGTGTCATAAAGGTGGGGCATGACAGGGAAAATAAACTTGAATTTCTCAAAATTCACTAATCACTTTATGGATAGTGAGTACCTCTGTTGATTATCATCTGTCACACATTCTAACCTCGCTATACCTGCTTAGTACATTATGTAAGCTATATCATATTTTTATTTGCACTCAATGTAGAAGTTCCTTCCTCAGTGACTGCTATAAACATCACTGAGGTTAGTACATCTTATTCACATAGTACATACTTAGCTAATGTACACCACAGCTCATGTACTCACTGCAGGTAGATATCCAATACAGTGACTGCTATAAACATCACTGACCTCATGTACTTGCTGTAGGCTATGAGCCCTATTGACAGATGTGACCTTAAACATAGGCACAACTTACACTGAAACCAAATTTGCACCTTGTAATCCCTGTGTGGATTAAGGGGGTGTGTTGGAATATGATGTAATCCATATATTGGATGCAGTGAGGGAAACTGTAATGGCTGGATAGTTTAGTGGTTAGGACATCCCCCTAGAGAAATCCTGGTTCTGCCATGATTCTGATGTTCAATAGGTTATTCACTTCAACATCTTCCTGCACCGGCACAAATGACTGATCAGTTGTACAACTCAACACATTCCACCCACTTTGAGTCGCTCAATGACTCAGTATGTCTTGCCTGCTCATGCGGAAGACTAGGCTCTCAACGAAACTCAAGCGCTCTCAACAGCACAAAGTTTTTTTTTCTATTATGTACTATACTATCTTTACTTGGGAGTTAGATGATGATGAAGAGTACTGAAGTATGTATATTAACACTGGCTGGATGAATAAAAAACTCTAGGTATAACCTGGGCTACAATACTCTAGGATTTATTGGAGTAAGTATCATGACAGATGACCTGCAAGCATAACAGCAGATATGAAAAGATGGTGACCCAAAGATCCTCGACAAGCGCTCCTTAGCTACAATACTCTAGGATTTGTTGGAATAAGTGTCATCACAGATGACCTTGGATGCAAGCATGAAAGCAGATATGAAAAGACAATGATCCGAAGATCCCCAAGCAGTGGGAAAGCACTCCTTGAGTTGTTGGAGGAGAACAAGGGCAGCAAAGGTTACCGAAGCATGGAGATTAGTGTGGTGAAGGGCATAAGTGATGAAATGGTGGAGCTTTACTTGTGAGTTAGAAGATGAAGGGCAGTACTCTGGACAGGTAAAAAGTGGTTAATAAACCGTGCACATAAATGAATGTGACAAACAGCTACTAAATTTTTTTACTATGTACTTGACAAATATAATCGAGCTACACAATTATTGCTACACTAATAGAATAAATCTAGAAATCCAAATTCCATAGAAAGTCATCCACTAACTACAGTACACGAAAACAAAATATGCTATGTCAAGCTTGAACACCAAGCTGGGAGAGGACTTTCTATATATCTCAAAATTAGATGTGGACAGAGAGAACTGGACAAACCACAAGGATAGGTTGTGCTGGTCAGTAGATGCTTGTAGGTTCCTTGGTCACCTAGAAGGGACCAAGAAGAAACTGATTGATCTCTCAACACTGTCGACAATGGGAGCATCATGGTCGCCTACAACACCAGATGAGGTCAGGGAGCTCATGGCATACAATGCTGCATTGAAGGAATGGTGCATGGGCCAAGCAATAATGAAACAACAAATAGCCAGCACAATACCTGACTCCCTGTTCATACAAGTCAAAGGTCTGGACACAACAGGAGAAATCTTTATGCATCTTTCAAACCTGTTTGAAAAGCGGTCCTGAATAGTCTCTGTTGAATTGTTGAGGAAGCTACAAAGGCTAAAGTGCCCTGAAAAGGGCAACATCAAAGAGCACTTTGACAAAATGAAATGCACACCATTTGAGAGCAATTGTCATTGTTAGGACACCCATAGGATGAGAGCTTCGCGGCGATGATCATGAGCTTGTGGCCAATGAGCTATGACCTCCATATATCAGCCTTAACAGCCTCTGCAAAAGTCTCCACCATAGTACTCACCTTGGACAGGCTAATATCAGCAGTAGACAAATGTAGAAGAATGTACTAGAGATTATACACATTCACAGGTTGAAGAAATCATTAAATAGTTCTTGCACAACTTAGATGATCCAAACTGCATATAGTTTATCCTGGACCTTCCATACACCAGGTAAGATACCTCAGATCATTTGTGATGAGTAAAGGTTTTTCTCTCGCTTGAACTCTCTGAATCTCTAGTTTTGTTATACAACTTGATCATGTCATAGCATATGAATAGAATCAGATTTTTACCATAACTCAGATGAAGGAGTCACCTTTGTACAGTCTGTACTAGGCAAAAAAGGATCACAGCCTTCCTTAGGGGTCCAAAAATTTCACACACCAAATACACCAAACTTTCTATGCTGCTAACAAGCTTTCTTGCCAACTGTGCTAAAATTAAGGCCAACTGGTACATGAAGGTTGTCACTCTTCAGGAGAGGGATTTATTATGAGCTGATTAAATCATATTTTGTCCTACCACGATTAATAGCTTGCCCTGTTAGTATATAACCACCTGGACAATATTATGCAGCCTGTTATGCTGACCGTCGGTCGGCGTGTGCGAACTAGGATAGGTCTTCTCAGCGACGACTCGAGTGAGTCTACTGAAGCTAAGGGTGGTTCTCGGCTTGACGGAACGTCAAGGGTTCCTCCGGTGATCTCAGTAAGACGGCACTCGTCGAGATATAGGGCTAACGGATACGGCTAAGAAGCGGGGAGCGACTTAGAAGTGCGGTCTTATACAAGAAAGCTGGGATGCTTAGTTGAACAAGTTCTGGGATGAACCTAGTAGATTAAAGTAAAGTCTAAGTACAATAATCCGTCTACTTATATGTGCTACATATAGGTATTCTAGCTCAGTCTGTAATCTATAGTATATCTAGGATCTAAGATAACAAGACATGAGGTTCAGATAAGTACATGAGGCGCCAAGGGCGCTCCGGATCTTCATGAAGCGACATGCTGTATACATGCACTTGATCTAGGGTGACCATAAGGCGTACAGCCTCCATGGATCAGGTACAAGGCTGTCTAGGCCAGGGGCGGGGTCATAGCGCCAGGGGCGGGGTCATAGCGGTCCAGACCGCTGTCTTTCTAGGCATGGGCGGCGCACCACTGCGCGGGGAGTCTAGCAGAGCGGGGGCAGGCATAGGCAGAGCTGGGGCTCCAGTAGGTGTTACAGATGCCTGTAACACAGCCTACATACCCACTATATTGTTTGCTAAGGGAGCCCATTATTTGCACCTAGAATTCTTGCATCATAGTGAACTAGCCTGTTTTGTTGATGCCAAGAAAGAACATTTCCTCACTAATCAAGTTCATGAACACTCCCTAGAAATACTGGAACAAATGATCATTGATCTGCCATATACATCTTGCTGGACCAATAAGTGATGCAACAAAATATTTCCCATGTCTATCCTCTTACCACTATTACCAGGATTATTCATTAGGCCTTTTATTGCTCTTTGCAGCATGATAATTGATTCTTATAAATATATGGCTGTTGGCGTCAACAAAAAAATACTAAGGAACACAACTAAGCCAGCACTTGCAATTTCAAGAGCAATCATGAAACATTTTTAGAAGGATGTGGAAACAGGCAATTTAGTATATTAGTTTCACTCTGACAAATACCCAGGCTCTCAGAGCCTCATGCATCTAGGACAGTTTATTGACAAAAAAAACTTGTGATTTGTTTGAAAAAGTTTACAGAATTGTAGTTTTTATTTTGATTGTAGTATGTGATACCTATGATACCAGTGAATATATAGTTCTTTGTGACTCTGGTTTGGGCAATCTTTGAATTCAATTGATTAAACCACCTTCATATAAGTACAAGGAAAATGGACTGACCTATGGGCTTATCCCCTAAATATAGATATCACACTGACTTATGTGATGATCTCAAATCAATCTAACTTCCAAAGACTGACCTTTGGACCAAACCATAGATATCAGACTGACCAGTGGGAACATTAGACTGAACTTGTCATATTCTACATTTCAGGCCTACATCTAATAATGTTCTCCTTCATAAGTATACGGTTGTGTTACTCCTGCTTGGACTAAGGATCCACTGGCTTATGTGGAGTGGTATGCACCTTTAAAGCCTGCTGCTGAAGATTACCATAAAATGTATCTTGTCAAGAAATGTCTATCTAATGCAGATGGGTTTTTGCCAGGCCAAGTTATATCTCTATCTTCTATTAGACAGATATGCCAACTTATTCCAAACTTTGGTCGAACAGCTTTATCTATGGAATGCACCTCAGATAGTGTTTTAGATAGATGTGATACTTTTTTTCTTAATTGTTTTACTTTCAAATATGCTTATCAAACTTTATGGTAAAATTCTTATAATTTATATTATATGAAGTCTCCTATAGTAGCATATAGTGGCTCAAAGTTACATATAGCCTATATTGCACTATACATGTATATAATAGCTATAGCAGAATGTAGCACCTATATAGAACAACAGTTTTTCCTGTTGTATGAGAGGGTCTCACAAATTGTGGACATACTGCTGGTCCTCTAGATCTCAGCCGGTGGAAATAGGTATGAAGGGCAATACCTCATCATATAGAGAAACATTTATGCCAGCCTGTAAGTCATGAGCTTTGTTCTCAGCCAGTTGAAGTTGAACGGTTGTTTGTGTCATTGCTTAAGAAAACAATCAGAACAAGGAATGTATAAGTACAGATACATTCACTTGCATGCTATGCAGCTCTCAAATGGGTTGGGCTGTGAACTATCATCTTCCCAAGCCTCAACTTCAGATTTACATGCATACAAGGACACAGCATCTATTGCACTCTGCAACTCAGCTAGCTCATTGCTGTGCATCTTAGCACTCCCCACAGCTTCCTTCAGTTTGCACAGTAGAATATGACCTGTTGTATTTTAAGTTAGCTCAACATTATACCAGCGGTAAAAGAAACTTACCAACTGTTGTCACCTTTTTCCAGTTCCAATCACTGAAATTATCATCGAGTATGTCACGACAAGACCCAGGACCCATCTCCTTAGTGCTGGTAGCCACCCTGTTCACATTCGCTCAACCTCGCTCTGGTGCTTCCCCATCCATGCAACTGACACCCTTAGAGTAATTGAATGAGAAGTTTGTCCGACAGGCGGGGATATGGGCATTGATGTGGAACTTTGGCATGAAAATTGCACTGTCTTGCTCTGGCGGTCAAATTATAGCCTATCAGGCATCAAGGCCAAGCATGCCCATATCTTTTTGTGCCATTGGCAGGCTACATCATAAGACAAATTGAAAACAGCTGTGCCACTTTCAATGATAATGGAGAATATGAGGTAGTCTACATTGAAAAGTCAGACTGGTGAGTCAATGAATGAAACTGTTCCATCACTTACTTCTTCCCTTTTTGAAGATCACCTACTCCACTTGCAAGCTTCATCTCATGTCGAGCACAGTCCACAGTCCCTACACCAGTCGCAGCAAGGCCTCTTGAAGACTTGGTGTCTGCCATGTTGACTGCGTTGTGACTGACACACATGCTTCACTGAAAGAATAATGGGCACAGTGACATCATTACAGTGAAATCAAACCTCTTGTGGCACTGTGACTCACTCAGCCAGTTAAGATTTATAGCATATTTCTTCTACAAAATAAGATGACCCAGCATTGAGGCTAGGGTCTAGTTATGTCACGGCTCAGCTCGGCCTGGCTCAGACTCAGCTTGTACCAGTTACACTTGCCGTTCAGTTATTCTCATTAGTTGAACCACATTGTGCAGTTTGGTTCGACTTACTAGCTGCATGAACTGGCTATGAGCCATCTATCCAGAAATGTTGACTCAAGCCGGTTCAAGTTGACTGCAGTCGACTTCAGTCACGTGGAAGTCGCCTGCCATGCTGGATTCTCACTGTAAATTTGTAATGTTTAGCTGCTGCGTAGCATGAATAAGTCTCCATTTCAGATTGATGGTAGATTCAGGCTGGAAAATATTTTGGGATCAGGTTCATATGGTATGTTTGTATGATGTTGATAGTTGATTGATTAATATTCAGGGTTTCAACATGTATTACTAGCTGTCGTGTACTGCGCACAGAACTTCCTCAATGATGATATTGTTGCAATCAAACTCGAACTGGTCACCAATAATCCATCTTCTGTCGAGCACGAATACCGCATTCTCAAGCAACTTGAAGGTGGAGTAGGAGACCAGCTGGTACTTTGATTCAAATGTGCTGTGCTGCAGATACTGACCTATTTTCCAGCTGTCACATCTTGAGTACATTTCCTCACACGGTGACATTCATGGCGATGTCAAACTGCAAAATGCTTTGATAGATAATTTGGAACAAATGGTCTATATTATTGATTTTGGTATTGCGAAGAGATACTGGAATTCCTCAACCAAATCCCACATCCCATTTTGTCAAGGTCGATGTCTCACAGGCACCCCTGCCTTTGCGTCAATCAACAATCACTTGGGATTGGAGCCAGGTCGCCGTGACGATCTTAAATCACTTGCCTATATGCTCATATATTTCTTGCGTGGTTCCCTTCCATGGCTAAATAGTAATCATGAGAAGCTTTATGATTCCTTTATACTCGAGTGCAAGGTGGATACCGCCATCACTGATTTATGTGAGGGAATTCCTCCTACATTTGCAAATATCCTCGTCTACTCGCGCTCTCTCTCATTCTCAGAAGATCCTGATTACGACTATCTACATTCTTTACTTCACGATCTTTGCACTACAGGGCCTGCACCAGCTATGCATTCCCTGGATTTTGACTATCCCACCCCACCTTCTCAATACCCGAAAGTCTCTCAATTGGTGCCTACATGTCTGCCGGAAGTAACACCCCTTCGCAGATCAACTCGTGTGTAAGTAATTTCATTTATCCTTACACACTGCATCCATGAACTCATCATTCGCAAGGTTATGTCTACATAATGGTACCCCAACATCTGTAACTACTCCCACCTCATGTTGGATCAAGAAACAAGCTATATAGCTGTTTTTTTCTTTTTTTCAGTACTACATCTGCGCAATGCACATGTTTGAGCTTGTTTGATTAGTATTTACATGTGTATATATTGTACATGGTCTGTGCACATATGTACCTATGTAGTGTAATTCCCGAGTATTAACTCCCATGCTGATCAGGGTACACTGCAGCCAGCCTGTGATGATCACGTCAATTTTGCCTAAGCTTTCATTCCCAACCGCTTAGCAAGACTTAACCATACATTGTGTTAATTGTTATCCTCACGTCCTCCTCACGGAGATCCCCACCCACATTCAAGAACCAGTCACCATGATCTGGCCGATACAGTAGGAACAAGCTGTGATATTATGAAGAGCTGCTAAGCGAACATATGTGTCAGTATTTCAGTCTCAATCATTATGTATTGTCATTAACTATTGTGTTTAGACCCTGCAGACCGCAGTGCCAAGGTGATTCTGTGCCATTGTGCACAGCGGTGTATTCCTGGGGCTCCCAGGATAAAGGTATATATATCATGTATGAGTGAGTCTCTTGTTACATCTCCAGCACTACTACTACTAACATGAACCATCGTGGACGTCATCGACAGAACACTAAAATCTCCCAGGTTGAAGCTGCTCCTGCGCCTGTCTCTCCTGTTCTTGTCACTTCCACACCTATTGCTCTTGCTCCTACTCATGTCTCACCTGCTCCTATTCCTGTTGCTCCTGCTCCTGTGACTATTTCTCCTGCTCCTGCTGCTGCAACTACCACTGCAGCTGCTGCAATTGCTACTGCCCTTCACCGCCCTAGGAGACAATGACAGCTTCCTCAGAGATTTAGGCAGGACGACGCAGCTGCCCATCTGGGTGATGGCGAGTGGATCGACATCAATAATGTTGGCAGCAGTGAAGATGATGACAACCCACCTGAAGTCATAGCCGCCATACACACACAGGGCCCGAGCCCACTACAGATGACAACTCAGACGACAACCAGCACTCTCCATACCAATCCTTTTGCCACAAGAAAAAGAGGCCTCAAGACTACTTTTGATATTCAGTTCTTTTTTAGGAAGAACTCAGACACTGGTGAGTGCATTTGTGTACCATGCGAGTGAGTAACATGGCTAGTAGTCTCTTCTACTCTTTCTCACCCTCTTTTCCAGGGATCTAAATATGATAGACCCATCCTATCCCCTCACCATCTATGGTTCGTCCACGAGCAATACCCCCCTCCATTCACATATACATAAAATTCACATCGACCTTTACCTCGAGGAATCCGAGAAGCAGCAATGGCCAATTGGCATTCATCCTGTAGTGGACCGCCTCAATGAAGGCTGGACCTTCAGCAAGATGCGGAAATGACTTGAAGATCCCACTTACACAATCGAAACACTTGGCCCTCCCCCCAATTCCAGACACAGCGGTTCAAGGCCTGGTGTTGGAAAGTCAGCATCTTTGGATCATAACTTATCAGACTTCTCTATCAATGAGATGCATAGACAGATCGTGAAGTTTATTGTAGCTGACGACCAAGTAAGTACTGTCTATGTTCTGTGTTCTCACTAACCATCATCTCTAGGCAATCAGTGTTGTTGAGTGTCCAGAGTTTCCTTGACTGCTCTGCTTCTTGCAGCAAGACCTAAAGGATTCTGATATCCCCCATCGTACAAAGCTTTGGTAACTGATCATCGATGTGTGGGATGATTACTTCGCAGCCATCAAACTTGACCTCGCTGTGAGTGTATAACTATCGATTACATACAGTCTTTTCATATCTTGCAGATTGCCCAAGGACGAATCTTGTTCACATCGGATATCTGGTCCAATTCTAAGCTCCGTCCCTTCCTTGCTGTGACCGCACATTGGATTGCGAAAGAACGCAAAGCCACACTTGTTTTGAAGGCTGATCTAATAGCCTTTCATCATATCCCTGGTAGCCATACAGGAAAGACACTCGCTTCAAAAATATTGGAGCTCATTGATCGCGCTGAAGTGAAGCATAATGTTAGTGTTTCATTGTACTCTGTCACATGCTCTGACTTTGTCTATATCGGACACTTCACCCTGGACAACGCCAGTAATAACCGGACTGCAATGGATGAACTCTCACAACTATTACAAAACAATGGGATTGAATTTGACGCTGTCAATCGCCGAATCCCATGTTTTCCGCATATAGTGAACATATGTGTCCAACACATCCTCGACAAACATTCTCAAGTAAACTTCTCACATTTGGCTGACACTTTTGTAGCTGGCCCTTACAATTTCAAGAAAGTGGAGTACATAAAGGCTCTGCAAAGTAATGTTATCGCTTGGGCCAGAGATGTTGTCCTTGTGATCCGCTCATCAGGCCAGCGTCGTGACAGTTTGTGAGCTGCCATTGCTTCTGGCAATGCAGAGGGGTGGTTTGTAAATGACAAGGGCGAGCGTATGGCCCTGCCGATAGTTGAATTGCTATGTGACGAGCCCACTCGCTGGGATTTGACATATATCATGTTCAATCATTTGAGGATCCTACAGCAGATAATGTCTCATCTCATTAGAATCTTCACACCACTTAAATGTTGCCCAGGCCATCAACCATTGGATTGATCTCCCTGCTCAACACAGCATAGCTTGCTATAAATTGAGCCCTATGGATTGGCAAGTCCTGCAGGATCTCGAGGTCATTCTAGAGGTACATTTTAATATGTCCAAAACTTCTAATGTATTTACTATTCTACATTAGGCACCACACCACGCCCAACAATGCATGTCCAGTAAAACCAGTCCTCTTCTGGGTAGCACCATTCCGGCCTTCAAAGGGTTGATCCAGAGGTGGAAGCTTGTGGGAGACCTTGTCCCGCATTGTGCACCTTTGGTCGCCATAGGTTTAACGTGGGCAGCCAAGTATGATGACCGGATGAGCCTCACAGGAGCATATGCCGTTGCAATCTGTGAGTCTTGCATGGTTTGATAAAGATGAATTCTCACGTTGTGCATAGTCATTGACCCCACAAGACGTCTGTCATGGATAAATGAACATTGGTCAGTGCCGCGAATTACACAGGTGAAAAACTATATTCTTCAACTGGTATGTCTACCAGATAATAATAACAGCTGAATTTTGGACTGATATGTCCCACAGATGCAGAGCAAGAGAATGACAGATGTCTCTGCACAATCCAATGAATTGACTTGGCACCTGCGCCCTGCAACTCTAGGCTCAACAATTTATGGACTCCCTGAGACGGACTTACTGCCACATCACCAGGGTGGCCCCCAATCAGTCAAAGACAAGTTTAATGCTTATTGCACAGGTGTTCTTAGTCCCACAGGAACAGATCATCTATCTCTTTGGATGGTAAGAGTCCCGTGTTTCTATTACAGGATTTGTTGATGATAAGGTATTGATGGTGGACTAGGTTTCGAAATCAATATTTCCAACACTCTTTAAAATCACCATGGACTTTCTGCCAATCCAAGCCTCTGCCGTTCCATGCAAGCGCGTATTTTCCTCTAGCAGTGATACATTTACCAAGAAATGCAATCACATCAGTCCTTACTTAATGGAAGCCCTGCAGATGGTCAAATTCATGCTGAAGAAAGAGCACCTTCACTTCACCAAGGGCTAGGCAGCATCCCAGAAGGATATGGAGTATGACCTGATGTGTGTCACAGGCTCAGCAAGCCATGAACATCTCTCGACATCTGGCTGTGGCAATGTACTGATATCTGCCATCAGTGGAACAACTTCTGACAGTCACGATTATGAGGCCCTTCTCAGAGTCATTGCAGAGGACGAATGCGATGATGTTCCAGATGATATCGCAATGATGTCTATACACATCTCTTAATTCTTTCTTTACTGCTACCTTTACTATTTCTATCATCTTGCTCATACTGCTGCTGCTACTACTTTTGTTATTAATGACCTTGACTATCGATTGATTTTTCTTTTCGACGGATGCCTCACCGTAACTAACATATAAACTAGGCATCAGCACTGACTGCGACAATGGCTTTACACCATGCTGATTGAAGTCAATGCCCACTGTTCATGGTATGTGAGTGCTTCGATCTTTCTTCAAGCTTGGCCCACTTGCTGACCAAGTCGTTCCCTACCATTTGCAAAGTGAGTGTTTCCATTTTCATTCAAGCTCAGGCCATGCTGACCCAAGTCATTGCCCACCATTCGCAGTGATGTGTTGATCCTCATTCGAGCTCGGGCCATGCTGACCAAGTCGTTTCCTACTGTTCGCAAAGTGAGTGTATCCATTTTCATTCGAGCTTGGGCCATGCTGACCCAAGTCGTTGCCCACCATTCACAGTGATGTGTCGATCCTCATTTGAGCTCGGGCCATCTGACCCAAGTCATTGTCCACCGTTCACAGAGTGATGCGTCGATCCTTGTTCAAGCTCGAGCCATGTTGACCCAAGTTGTTGCCCACCATTCGCTGTTAGTGAGTGTGTCGATCCTCATTCAAGCTTGGGCCATGCTGACCCAAGTTGTTGCCTACTGTTTGCAAAGTGAGTGTTTCAATTTTCATTGGAGCTCAGGCCATGCTGACCCAAGTCATTGCCCACCATTTGCAGACTGATGTGTCGATCCTGGTTCGAGATCAAGCCATGCTGACCCAAAGTCATTGCCCATCGTTCACTGTTGGTGAGTGTGTCGATCCTGGTTCGAGCATGGGCCATGCTGACCCAAAGTCGTTGCCCACCGTTTGCAGAGTGAGCGTGTCAATCCTTGTTTGAGATCGGGTCATGCTGACCTGAAGTTGTTGCCCACTGTTCACTGTTGGTGAGCATGTCGATCCTGGTCTGAGCTTGGGCCATGCTGACCAAAGTCGTTACCCCGTTACCCACTATTTGCAGAGTGAGCATGTCAATCCTTGTTCGAGCTTGGGCCTACCGTTCACAAAGTGAGTATGTCGATCCTTTTCATGCACATTCATCGATAATGGCTCCAGTTTATGTTTCCATCACAAGGACTATGATACAAACGTCTAATTCAACAGCGTATTCCTGAACACAACCGAAACTCCCCGCCCCCTCGACACTAATTCCCACCACCGCGACCACGACCTAACAGGTTCCTCCAGTAACGTCCCCACCTCGATCTCTGAATCATTTGAACAATCCCTCCCCCTCCTCCTTGGATTTCGCCCACTCTCTCAACTCCCCGCTGCCTCTCCATGGGTCTTTCGGCATTTTGCATGGATAGGTGCTGCTCTCACACTCTTCATGCACATGCAGCACTACTATATAACTAGATATTTACTTTAGTTTTTGATTGAACGTTATTGTAATCACTTACCTTGTCTTGTGGACCCATAATATCAATGATGTGATTTTAAATGTCAAGTGTGTTGTGAATTAGTGTGATTGACAATGTGCTTCTCTAACGTTGCGGTTCTCGAGACTAGAGTTCTAAATCTATTTTTGGCTTATATAATTTAAAAATATATTTGAGTTGGTTTTAAGTCCTTAAGTCAACTTAGCTGTAACTATTTGAGCCAAGCCGGACCATAATTACACAAGCCATAACCACCTATCAGCTTGACTATTTATAGCTCAGGCTGTGGCTAAAACTGGCAACAAGCCAGAATGTGCAGCAGTTGTACAGCAGTATTCCAAGGCTGGCATCTTTCAAGCATTGCTGGACTGGACAACCGTTGCTGACGATGATCTGTGCATCAAGCATCATCCACAATTCCACAAAACAGTAAATTATCGACATCTCACCAGTTCTGGGGACACGGAACACACTGCTTCTGGTCGGGCCGATGCGGAAGCGACTGCCTCAATGTCGCCATCTTGTGACATTCTGATGAGCAGATTTATTGCTAACAACCAAGACCCTGCCGTCGCGAAGCATGTCCTGAGCACTATGACACGTGAACCTGTGTCTCCACTGGCAACCTTGTTCAACAAGGTACTGGTAACACCTTCACCAACCACACCATTGGAACCTCTGACTCCTCTTTGCCCTTCAACCGCCGCCTCCCCAAGCAAGGAGCATCTTCGTGCAATGGGAAACAGGACACAACCAAAGACCATTGGACAACATGGCAAGCGCAAGGACAGACAAACAGAAGATTATGTTGTGGATGAAACAGACGTGATACACAGATCTACACCATGCCCATTATCCTGACAATCTGCTCTGAAAAGGAAAAAGCAGTTCATGTCTGATGATGAGGGAAACCAGCCGACCAGAAGCATATACATCGCCCAGAAGGTGCAGAATCCTTTTTCACCTGTTTGTACTTCTAACTGTGGCATCTTGCTTGCAGCACAAAGCATCATCATCAACGGCACATGCAGTTGCAGGACCAGTTAAGGCAATGTCATCCAACACGGTCAATGATATAGGTTTCTGGGATGTAGACACCAGGGTAGGTCTCGGTGATTCCATTTTCATGCATATTTATCCAGCCGGCTGGATGGGGTTGTGATTCCACCATTGCAACATTGGCGGAGGTGGGTTCTTTACACTCTGGATGCTAATGTCGGGTAATGTATTTTTGCAGCATTCTGTTCGCTATCACCCCTGAAAGTGTGACAAATGCATCAAATTAGACATACCTTGTATTGTCCTGCCAGATAAGAAGTATGGTTTCACAAGACTTGATGGTGTTGGTGTCCAGGCGAGGTTGTAAGCAAAGTAAAAGGGAAAAAACCCTCTTCCTCCCAAACGTTCCAAGATCCATACTCCCAAATTGCGGGCTGCCAAAACTCTAGCCAAAACTGACACTATGAAAAGGACAAAACAACCCACTCGTGCATTCTCCCATGCCGAGCAAAAAGTACTCATGCTGGATGTGTTGGAAGGTGTTACAGTAACATGGCACGAGTCCCCCGCCAGTAGACAGCCCTCTGCCACCGCACGGCTATAGACGATACCAGAGCCTCACCAGCTCTATAGACGACAGATGACGATAGATGACGATAGATGATAAGCGGCAACTGCCGGCTTAGATAAGCGGTCTGGACCGCACGTGACATGACATGATGACATAGGTCTAGAAGACCTATTTATGTTATCAAGATAGAAGGCAAGCCTCGTGTTGCCTCATGTACTGATAGAAGGATACCACGTGGATCCTATCTCTGATGGAAGCGTACCGCATGGACGCTATCTACGATAGAAGCCCGCCTCATGGACGCTATCTCTGACTCATGTAGATAAGCAGATTAGAACCCAGCTTCGAGCTGAGCTTAGATACGATAGAGTAGCCTTATATAAGGTCGAAGATTAAAGTAGACGTTCCTTACTTTAATCTTACTAGGTTTTCCCTTGAACTCCTTGTCCCGCTAAAGCTACCTGCTCGACATCGACTCGTACCTTCAGTGACGCCTCTCACTGTCTGTAAACCTGCTATCATCTCGGCGTAACCCCTCGTTAACCACCACGAGCTACGTTCGAGTACGCAACCTTTGCTTGTCTGTAAAGGCCGACGACTCTCAGCACTCGGTACCACTGTCGTGGTTGTCGCTGTTAGATTATCCTAGTCGCACATGACCACTTGTCATAACAGAAGGTAAGCACATAGCACCCTTCCAGCAAGCAAAAATCAATGCATGAAATTTCAGACTCAAATGTGGAACAACCGATGGAGGTCCTGACTCCGAATCCGGATCCACGAGCACCCCAAAACATGCAGCCTTCAGAGACTGTCTTACCACTGGCAGTGGTGGAACACTTGACAAACACTCCAGTTGGGTCAGCTGGATTTGGCAACCAGCCCTAGCCTGAGCCAACTCTGAGAGATATATTGCATAGTATTCATGACCTAGGTAGATGGTTTGATCTCCTTGCCACAAATGAATGGGTGGACGTGTTAGACACCAGGTTGCATTCGGTGGAGGAAACACTAGATTGGAGGTTGACCGTGCTGGAGAAACGGTTGAGTACTTCGAATCTGCAATGGAAAGCGACATCATCATCTCTGGGCAATTTGTCAATGGCCCTTCAGAAGCACAGAGACAATCAGATTATACACCGCCATCGGGAGAGCATTTTTGGAGATGGATCATCGCAGCAACGAAATGTTGGCCTAGTTGATGAAGAGGGTGTCTCACACATTGGGAGACAACCCGGTCATGTCAGCACAAGAAGGCTGGATAATAATGCCAGGAGGTCTGTATCTGCTGTTTATATACCTGGAGCATCACTTCCATTGGTGTCATCACCTCTGTCTTCTTGATTCTCCAGTGCCCCACCAGGCACATCTGGTGAATAGATCCTTATCACAGCCAGATACTCATGTTTTCTTGAAGGAACCTACCACTGTACTTATAGTTGTCTTGTGGATTTAAAAAATTGTAGTTAGGATATCTTCCAAAGTTTGCAATAAGAATCGAATATTCCACTACATTGTTGGCAAACATTAAAGGAATTCCGGTAGTGATAGCAAATCTGTACAGGTTGCAGGGCTGTCTGAAGAGTACTGAATACATGTATGGGGGCTAGCCCAGCCCCATGCGCATTTCATCGGGATGGGCCCAGCTAGTTATTTCCAGCCCAAGCACATACATGTTTGATCTCAGTAGTAGGCTCAGGTAGTTCTTGTTGCCCCAGTTGGGCCCACGGAAGGGCCTAGTTGGTTATTTTCAAAAGATGTTTGATGTCAGAAGGGTTGTATTGACGCCCGGGTTACAACTGCATGAACTATCTACACTCCAGTATTATGTGCCATTGGATGTCACAGCTTCATTCAATCACTATGAAGCCAGGTGTATTGTAACTAGGCAGGCCAAAGCAGAGAAGCAAGCAACAACTCTGTATATACAAGAATCTTTGAAATAAAACAAGGTTGGCCATATTGAAAGAACAGGAGCATAACATGGGGCATAAAATTACATGATATCGGGAGCACCTATATACAAGAACCTTTAAAAGGAAAAAGCGATATTGTAAGAATGGGAACATAAAAAATCAGTCCATTGTTGTGTTTCCAGGAGAAATATTCAGATGTCCTCAAGATGCAGACATCACTCTCTGCCATGCATCTGAGATGTTCAGCCGTTGCTCAAATGTGTTCAACCGCTGGGTGAGGTTGTTCTCCACGGAAGCAACTCTTACCTCCAATGCCTCCACCCGCTCATTGCTGGCAAACAGATCTAATCTTTTGCTAAGGTCCTGGATACTCTGGAAGATTTGTCTTGCTGTTGGCTCGGCATCAATGTGGTTGGCTGGCACAGGCTGGTCATTCTGTTCCGGTCGTGGGACAGGCTCGATTGTAGGGAGCGGCTCCATGGGAGCCTTGCCCAGCCCGATGTCCTTCACCTGTTGCTGTCCCCCTGGGTAATGTAGATGAGTTAAAGCCTATCGGATTAAACAGAAAATTTACCTTTATCTTCATGTTCAGCGCTGTGGGAACTTGGGGGCAGGACATTTGCCTTCCGAGCAGAGCAGCCAGCCAGAGTCTTGGCATGGGACTTCGGAGTACATGTTCCAGAGTGCTTAGGAAGATTGGATCTGGTCTTCGCTTGCAACCTCTCCCTCACACCAACACCGTCAATTGCACATGCATGTAACTTTCATGTGATCACAGTTTGTGCAAGCAAGGCGTGTGCATCTGACCTTCTTGTCCAGAAGGACAATGCAGGGTACGTCTAGTTTCCTGCACTTGTTGCACTTCCGGGGGTAGTAATGAACGGAGTGCTGTAAATTTGTGAGCATTTCACGGCAGTGTTTTGCTGGATGACTTGCCTGCAACTGGGTAGCAATATAGGAATCCTGGCCCCATAGGGCAGGCTAAATAAACCAGTGAGTAGAAGAGCTTCGTGAAAGGCAAATAACATACCCTAGTGTCTGCATCCTGGAAACCTCTGTCATCAGCTGCATCTGAAGAGTCCGGAACTGCAGGGTTGGAATTGTTCTCAGCGGTGACAGGCAGTGATACCTTATATTGTAAGGTGTTTAACAATTTGGCCAAACAATTCATGTGACTGACACACCTTTGAGATTGCATATACCGTTCCGGTGGTAGCTTGGTCTTGGTCTTCATCCGATAGGAACTTCTTCTTCCTTTTTTGCCTGTGTTTTGGGAACTGGGCAGGCAACTTGGGTGCATCAGTCATAACTGCCTTGTCCGCATCATCATCTGCCGCTTTTCTCTTCTTACTGTTGCTGACCTGCAGCATGACCTTTGCGGGTTTTTTCTTTGTGCCAGCCACAAAGAGATTATGTTTCACGGGAGCAGCAGGAGGTGCTGAAATGTGGGTAGATGTTTGCAGCTCCACAGATTTTGGTGGAGGAGATACTGGCCTAGGTTGAGTTTCCGGTGAGGTGATCAGATCTGGATCAGTGAGGAATGCAGTTGGCAAGATAGCTGGGACTGTGGACGGCGGCGTCAATGCGTCGTTTGTGGATAGGAGCACAGACACAGGGGCATGCGGGGGTTCAAAGCAGGTGGAAGCCTCAACCACAGTGGGACCACGGTAGCCCATGGTCTTGTCGAATCGGGGGTGGTTCTTGATCCTCAGGTCATTGTCAGACACAGAGGTCCAGTCAGGGATGCACTGAAAGGCACCGCCCTTGGAGAACTGCTAGATGACGGCAGCACAGGAGAGTAGCTGCAGGGAAAATGACATTGCATCTCCAGCATGAATCCTTAAATCTTTGGCCTGCTTGGAATGGTTAGCTTGCAAGGAATTCAAAGTCCAAGAGAAAATAAAACTCACCACATATCTGGCAATGTCATCAGATAATGTCAAAGTATCTGGATCGCCCTCCTTCAACATCATGCAATGCTTGATGAGCGGTTGCATGGCCGCCAGAGTGGCATTCAGGGCATCATTTGCTGCCTTGGAAGGCATCATAGTTGATATTTTGAAGCAAGTGTTCTAATGTAGATATGAAAGAGGAAAATTTAGTGTTTGGAAAATCATCCAAGTGCCTACTTTTATCATCCTGTTGGTTGTGGCCATTTCCACGAATTGTGGAAGCTCTAAAATGTGGACCAGGTGTAAAATTATTGTAATACAATAGAACTGCTGTGACCATTGTTGGCTTAGGTCACCACATCCACATCAGGAAAGGCCAAATCACATCTACCGCCTGAATATAATCTGTTGTCCGGATATTAGATGCATCGCATCTGTGAGGGTGGGAAGTAGATTAAGGCTTGTTGCAGCGGCGATGGCTAGTCTGTAACAGTGAGGCGCGCACCACATTACTGTCTGTTATCACAATAACACGTGGTTTGACATGCGATACCTCCACCGCAACAAGCCTTAATCCATTTCTCACCCATAATGGGTGCTATGCTGTGTATGGGATATCCGGACTCTACATGATTTTTCAGAATCAGTGGTGGATCCACATTTCCCGGTGTAGATATACCGGCTGTAGAGACCAAATGTGAGAGCGGTAGCCACGGTTGTTTTGTACAATTTTGTGACACCCTGGCCACATTTCTGAGTCTCCACAGTTCTTGGAAACACCCACAACTGGCATATTGGGATAACAGCCAGACATTTTCCCACACAAATATATTCTCTTGTTTACTTTCTGTTCATTGCATCAATAAACCTCTTCCCTTCACAACTCGTCATGATATCTCAGGAAGTGGCCAACAACGCCCTGGACACCACTCTGGCTGCTGTGCAATCACTCATAAAGTGTTGCATGAACTTGAAGGAAGCCGACCCAGAAACCTTAAGGCTCTTGGATGAGATCGCCAGGCGAGTGGTAAGTTGTATTTCCTCTCCGACTTCAGAATTTTTGCAAACCCAATCATTTCACACAGGCCAACATCATTCTCTCCCCTGCTACTCTCCTGTGCCACCGTTATATGGCAGTACTCACAGGGTGGCACCTTTGAGAGTGTCCCCAATTGGACCTCGGTCGCAGCAGATGACCCAAGGATCAAGAGCCACCCACAATTCGAAAAGACTGTGGACTATCGCCCACCCTCTGTCTTTGATGTTTCTCTACTTGCGACATCGAGCACAATTCCCACCACCTTTCCCACCCCATCAGCTCACATTGTCCCACCCTTGACGACCTCAGCTCTAGCATCAATGCCATCCCATGCAGACCCAGATATTATTGCCAAGCCGGTAGCAGAACCAAACCAATCTTCACGCTTATGAGCGTGCAAGAATCCACCCCTTCTTGGTCATCCAGCAGGTCCACCCGCAAGATTCCACCACCTCTATTTCAACAAAAAAAATGCAGAAGGGAGTTTTCCAGGCTGGCAATAGCAAGAAGAGAAAGGCAGACAATGAAGATATAGATGGGGCTGTTGTAATTGAAACCCCCAAGTTGCCTTCTCTGTCCCAACAGCCTCTGAAAAAGAAGTTCAAGTTGAATGTCGAAAAAAGGCCCACCAGAATTATTTATGTGAAACCAACGGTATGTCTGTTGATCTTGGTTTATGAATATCACGGCTTACAGCTCAAGGCATTACTGCCTGTCACCACAGACAAGGATGTTCCGCTAGGCAATGGCCAGGGCCTCTGGGACGCAGAAACTCTGGTATGTAACTTGCCATTATTCATGGCACTGATGCTGACCCAAGTCCAAGCCTGCAGAATGGGGCTCAGATGCTCATATTGCTACCCCATGCCAGGTGAGTCATTTTGTCCATCATTAGGAAGACAAGCTAACACATTTGAAGCATTCCATTTGCTATCACCCCCGGAAGTGCGACAAATGCACGAAGTTGGACATACCCTGTGTTGTCCTTCCAGATAAAAAGTTCGGATGCACACGACTTGTGTGCACAAATTGCAACCTCATGAAGGTCACCTGTGCGATCGACGGTGTCGGTGTGAGGAAGAGAATGCAGGCAAAGGCAGCCATGGCTTCATCAAATTCTGCTGAGCACTCTGGAATGCGCATTCGGAAGTCCTGCATGATCTCTCGGGTTCAACTTAACATTGCTGAAGGTGAGTTTTCCATCCAAATGGAAGGACATCAACTCATTGAGATGACTCTTAGAGGTGGAGCAACAACCTGGCCTGCCAGCTGATGTGCTGATGAAAATGCTCACAATTATTAGCATAAGCCAACAGTCCAAACAGGGTGATCAGTTTGCGCCAACTAATCGCACCGATCCTGAACCAACTGCAAGAGACATCCTGCAGGGCATTCAGGACCTCAGCAGGAAATTTGATCTTCTGGCCACTAATGAGCGGATGGACACCTTGGATGTAAGAGTGCGTTCAGTGGAGACTATCCTCCACCTGGGCCGAAAAAAACTAGCTGGGCCCATCTATGACCCCTACCCAATCAGTATCACATCCATATACTAATGGCCCACCAATCACTACCGGGAATTCCTCCATAGTAGGCCCACCCAACTTGCCTGCATATTGGGGCCCACCTTAGATGGCCCGTGTGCTAGGCCAGTTCAGGCCTTCCAGATATTTGTGCACTGGGCCTAAACATTACCAGCTGGGCCGATCCATATATTAAATGTAAGGACCAATTGGGCCCTTCTGGATGCTTGTGTACTGGGTTGATCTGCACCTGAATTTGTATGTGCTGGGCCTGCTCTTGCATATTTGACCTATCCGCACACTGAATTGGTATCTACTTGGCCCAAAATAACTGTTGGCCCATCTACCAACCCTTCCCGGTAATGTGATGGGCCCAGGAATAACCAGTTGGCTCACTTGTGCCCTCTTCCGATACTGTTAATAACCAGCTGGGCTCATCCATAAGCTATTCCGATATGAGCTGAGCCCATTTGCCAGCCATGCCTGATACTATCATAGGCTCAAAATTTTCCTGTTGGCTCTTCTGACATCAAATTTCCCTAAGACTAAGTAGCTGGGCCCATCCATTTCCCCTTCTAAGATATATAACTGGGCCCATGTACCTTTTGGCCCATTACAATTGTCTCATTCATCTATGGCATTGACACTTGGCCCACCCGCTAGCATGGGCATTATTCCACACTGTGGGCCCACATTGGATGGCCCGCCTAACTGGGTTGATTCTCAACCTTGGGCTGTCTAACTAAGTTGGAAATAAAGTACTGAATTATGTGCTTCTGGGACATACCACATGCATGTCTGTCAGATATTATCGATCATGAGGAAGATTTGAAGGTAAATAAGAGAAGATAGAAGGAGTGAGACAACAGGCTCCATGTGTCGCTAGTGGGGCATGAGATTGTGGTCAAAGTGAGAGCCATTGAGGGTGTAAGGAGGCTCAAAGAGTATGGAAGAAGACAAATGTTCAGCTGTAGAGAAGCTTCATTATGAATGCTTGGCCACCTAATAGATAATGTGTATGATTAGCAATTAGACAATGTGTGTATTGAGACAACTCTGACTGATATCATTTGCACTCCCAGGGAGAAATTGCACGATTGTGACACCTCTAGCTATGGCAAGTTCATATGATGTGTCATGGGTGTTCAAGCTGTCTATACTGCACACCTGCAGGAAATGGTACCTTATAGCTATTGTAGAGTAGCAAATTAACACATCATTTAGCTCAGGCATGCTACCAACACCAATATGGGAATGTAAATCCACAATCACAGGGGTCACCCACGCTCCTTGAACATCGACATCCTCCAATTTGCCATGTTTTAACTCAACCTTCTGAATCAAGGAAAGAGGAACATCTCCAATGGATTTGATGAGACCATGGTGGATGAGGAAGTCACTATTGAGAACCTCGTATCCGTCATTAGCAGCTGTCCAGATGGTCGTGTTGCACACAAGAACAATAGTCATGTTCTCGGAATCTATATAGTGGTCACTCTGGATGTGGTCGTGGAAATTGGATGGAGGCCCGGGTTTGGAGCGTGTTTAGGCACATTTGAAGAGGATCTGGGAGTGACAGGCAACATTGAAAAGGAGTATGGGTCACCAATGGTGAGCTACCCATTGGGTTAGATGGTGCCAGGTGAACTTGACTTGACTCTTGAGTTCCCTGTCTACATTGTAATAAAGTATTATGTTTGTGGGTAACATATTAGTTATATTTCAGTTAGGAACCTATCAGTAGCTTCGAAGTTTAAACAAACTGAACTTCCATAGGGGGGCCGCCAATCACTTGGAATAAAAATCTTGAGTCAAAGGCCTGGCCTATGCACTGTACATGTGTTGGTCTGTATGATTATCTTCTATAAATAGTACCCTCCTTTATCAGTTTGTCATCAGTTCATTGAATTATGCACAAATGATGAGTCAATACATGATGCATTGCCACTACTATGCATGACCACTGTTATTTTGATAAAGCCTCAATTTCACATTTTTGCTTTTTGCAGCATCAGCGAGAATAGTGAGTCTTGCCAGAATCCCACTCTATGGATTCTCAAAGATATAACTTCTCAGTTTCTCAAAGATATAACTTCTCAGTTTCTCAGCTTCTGCTATTGTAGGTTGATGCTACGGGAGGTGGTGGCTTTATAAGAGAGGTGTATGACGACCCATTTTCATGCAAGAGTACTGGTACTGACAACAAGTACTTGTAGTTGTCGCAGCAATCTCTTGCATTGTCATTGCCATTTCCTGGCTTCTATCTCCCTTCTTTGTTTTCAGCTCACTGCTTGTTGGATGTCATATTCCACCACCAGATAAATCTATTTCACAAGAACATTCCAAACATGGTTTCTTCAGTCTTCGTGCTCACTCAAACTTGCCTGTGGAGCTTACAACCATTAAATCTAATGAACAAACCAGTGCCAGAAGTCAATTTGGAAGAAGGGTATGGTAAAGGTGAGGGTAAACAAGGTGAAACAGTTGATAATGTAAGTGTTGTTTTGACTCTCGCACAGTGCCATTTTAACATGATGGCTGTCAGTGTGCTTCTGCAAATGATTCACTCCATACTATAAGAGGTAAAGGAACACAGCATCCTACTGCTCACATCAATAATGAAGATTGACAAACACTCTGAAAATGGTTATTGCATCCTTGAGGAAAAGACCCCAGTCTGGTTTTTTACATTCTAGCACTCAACCTGGAAGTGGGTCCGAATGAATACTGTGCAATCTCTGGCACTGGAACTGACACTTGGTTCCTGTGGGATCTTCTAGACATCCTGTTGGTGCTACTGCCTGCTGTGATGAAGATGTGAGTCATTTGTCATCACTCTCCTTTCATCTTATTGAAAACAATCTGCATGATATGACATTGTCCCTGAATCTGATGCTGAAGCAGCTGCAGCCATGCTACTATGTATGTATGGTGGTGTGGTCGATAGTTCAATGTGACCATGTCAGCCTGTATTGGTGGCATAGGTGTCTCAAGGACAACCCACACAAATACAAACCTCGACAAGTGGACCAGAAGAAATTGTAGTAAGCTACTGTAGATTTGCCTTTAGCTGTCATTATTACAACTCGCATTGATACCCTGTCACTCAGTGACTTATTTCTTTAATATAAATTGTATATGATATCCCATACCTAGCTTCAATGCAAAGTCATCTACATCTATCAAGCATGAGATGTGCAATTGCATTCACTACATCACACTGTGTTGCTGCATGTTTGTAGTTCTGTCTCTTACTACTGCCAAACCTTTAGTAAAAGGAATAATAATCACATCATGAGCTCACCTGGACCTTGACAATATCATCAGCTGGAATTTCATCAAAAGTGTTATCACCTGCAGCCACTGAAAGGTCAGAGGGTGATATTTGTTTGGCAGGGGTAGGCCCTACTGATTTCTATGCAGGCTTTGACTTGACTACCAGTTGTGTTGTATGAGATAGCCCGAATGAATTCCGAGGTATCATTGAATGTAAAACTATTGGCATGGTCATCCTCTGCATTATCTATCTGTAAAGTGTCATCTGCTTAGCTTGACTGCTCTCAGTTATGTTCTTCTGTAACTAAAAACAGTCACTCTTAAGCATGGGGTTTGCCTTGTCAATTGATGAACTTCCACTGAGTGAATTTTACATAATCGCACCTCCAAGCAGCCAAGGCTCCAAACTTGGAGCTCAAGTACTATTTTTTCACTTTTAAGTATATATAGAGCTCCAGGACAGTCATTCAGACCCAGGCTCCTGCTCATATAGGACTTGGACTACATATCTTGATTCTTGTCTTTCCATCAATAACTCAAAAGATAGGACAATCTTCAAATTGCTAGTAGCAGCAAATCAGCATATTGAACAGTAAGCTATTGTCCATCATATGTATGAGTGACATTCTGTTCAAATGGTCCAAAGATACCCTCACAACTACGATCAGCCACTACTTTAAGAGAAGGAAAAAGGGTAGCATATTCTGCTTGTTGCCTCTTTTTTATTAGTACACCAGATTCCAATAATAGAGTTTCCAAACAAGACCCTAACCGGTCTAAGAAGGCCTTCAATTCCTGGTGGGGCCAGGTTGGGACATCATAGACTTCAAGTATGAGTAAATTGGGAAGTGAAAGAGCGTCCAGGAGGTCAGATAGCCAGGTCTGGGACGCACATCCTTTGATATATAAGGATTGAAGCCCGGCATGTGTAGATAGCTCTAAGACCTCCTTGTTGGGGAATAATATGTGGATGGCTAATGATGAAAAACTAGGAGCTAGCTAAAGCAAGTGCAGAACAGTGTTTGATTGATCAGTGTTGATTGTGACATATGTCAGATAGAACCATATGTGATTGCAGGAAGTTACCAGGGCATAGTCAAATAAAAATGCATTTGCATCAAGCCTCATCATGTTGAGGTTGCACAGACAAGATGGAAGTCGCGTAATGAGCTGTGCCAGATCTACCCTACTGCTGGTACACATAGTTAGCTTTTGAAATGCTAGGAGCTCTATTAAGAGAAGCTCTGGCTAATTAGTGAGGTAGCCAATGTTGATGTAGAGAGATGATATTTGACTGGTGTAAGACTAAAGAAGAGTTCATAGTCAAGTTGAATCATCATTATGGCATTCAAGGGCCAATGAGAATGGATATCTCGGGATAGCTTAAGTCATGAGTCATAGCCCAGGGCTTGCTGCTCTTACTCGTCTTCCAGGTAGACTTGTAATGATAGCTCACACCACAAACTAGGTGTGCCTGTAGCAACCTCCCTCCACCACCAGCATACTCCAGTCAGCAGCATTGGACCCTCTACTGTTGAAGGCACCATCAACTCAAAGTCTCCCATAACTTTGGAGAATTCTGGGATACAAAGGTGAAAGATTTTGGATAGGATCTCAGTTGGCAAGTATGGGTTTTTGACGCCTAGAATTTTGGAATTTAATCCTCAATGAAATCACATTCAATGTATCAGGACACTTCAAGACGTACTATAGCATGTAAATGCTGGACCCCATTCAATTTTAGTGAGCTAGCTGTGCTCTGAGTCCCTTTAGTGGCCTATATGTTACCGTCTATCGACAATTTGTTGATGTCACCTTGGTGGAAAGCTATGCCATTTGTGGCATGTGATTTAGTTACTAAATAGAGACGACTCATACGAGTATATGTGTCAGTATCTGCTATCTCTGGCCCAGTATTACAGCAGCAAAATCTAACAGCACTCGGCCGTGCCAGTCACTGACTCCACATGAATACACCAAGAAGATATATGATTCATGAATAATTATAGTACAACAACATTGGACACCTATAATTTTGAGCCAAGACAAAAATACACCAAGAAACAATCACTCAAATCTACTCAATCATAGTGTACTTGGGCTCATCAGTTCAAGTGGTCGGACTCGAATTTACCAGGACTAACAAAAATGATGCAGAGAAATCCATTTACATCCGCAGGAGTCCGAGGCAACACAAACACAGTGGATATAACATTCATGTCATGAGTGCAAATGTCACCATAAAAAACTTTTGGCTGCAATAGATCTGATGACTGAAACAAGCGTGTCACATATGCAGTGGTACTGTATATCGTGCAGATTTTCTGTTCAATCCAGGTTAAGTCTTTGAAATATGTCAGGAGTTCACCATAATATAAGCCATTTGCAAGTGCAAAACAGGGCAAACTATTCTCCCTCAACAAAGCAGTAAGAGAGTTAGCGCAGACATTTATCATAGTCAAGTCAGGAGAATCCTCTACAATCCTTGCCTTATCAAGTATCACACCATCAAGATTCTTATTCTTAAACATGAAAGATGCAGAGACATGCTGCATGATTCATTTTCAGATGATGAAGGCATCTGTAATATGAAGAGCATCCAAAATAATTGGCAGGCACGGTGCTCCAGGGTCTGCTAAAATAACAACCTCCATGGATTTAGAGAATAGTGGCATCATAGAAGGCAGCCTGAAGCCTGAGTACTCAATTATGCTATGCACGCAGTGAAGATGAAAGTCCTGCTTGAGCAGTGGATGGTTCTTGTTCATATTGGTGTGTAGTTCTATCTTGCATGGCTCTCAATCTCTAGTACAAGCTGTTGATCTTTCGTCCCCTTAGTGTACCTAGCTTGTTCCCTGATAGTTACTTATCCCCTCGTGCTATCATCAACTCTTGGGAACATTTTTGGTACCTTCATTCATGACTCGTTCTGGAGAATCAATTCATTATAGTATTTGTCCTTGTTAGAGGTATGCACTCTACCATGGCAGATGACAGATACTTACTGAGCAAGTTGGCAGTGACAATTTCTACTGGTATCTCAGTCATATGATGTTGTATTTTGGTAAGACAAAAATTACTTGATCACTTTGATCAAGTCCTGTTATCAAGGATTTGTTACCTGGTGTTGATGCTACACTGGACACAAGTACTAAATGAAGCACTGTTTTTGAGAACATTAGGGGCACATGGAGTTGTGATTCACACTAATTTAGTAATACCATAGGAATCACCCACTGATTCCAACAATGCAGGGTGTAGTAAAAAACATATGAGACCTGCTGCCCTCCCAGACTGTGCATCATGCAAGATGCAATAAGCTACTGATTATGAGCTTGAGGTTCATCTCTTTCATGACATTAGTATTTTATAAATTATATACACTGCAGTCTGCAGCACAATAGTAAGTAAATTATACAATATATCCTGAGAAAAAAAGTGATGTTCTCATCAATTCTAGTTGTGCGAGTGAGTGCCCTGATTTTAATGTAAATATGCTCACCCAAAACTCAAGTTACCCAACCCAAACCTGCTTGCAAATTGCTCCACTTGGCTTGTTTGGGATATGTCAATGGTTGAGCAGCTTCAAATGATTTTTTTGCATTCAGAGCAAATGCACAATCACAATACATGCTAGTATAGAAGTTGAGACCATCAATGCATACCAAGTCTCTTTGCCTTGATCTGCACTGCTGCATAGAAGCGACCTAATTGTCCAGATCACTACACACTCTCATAACTTGTCATCAATGTAGCATTCATGGCTTGAACATGATGTATAGATCTATGGGTCTCTAAAATGATTACTATTGTACACAAAAGAGCTTTTGACATGACTGCACGATATGGAGCACTAATGTCCAAGCTGTGCCCACTACTATCTTTTGCCCAGAGTTGCAAAACGATCTGACCAGCTTTTGAGAACACAACAATGACACAAAATTAAAATAAGAAAACAACAGGAGCGTACAGGGATTGGTACATATTCTAATGCTATGTAAGAAAAATACAGAAATTTGACAAGGCTATGTTGCCAGAGAGAAGCTGGTGCAAAATAGTGCTTTGACTTTCCGACGAATGTAACTGCTTTCAGGTTAGCATATAGGCATTGACCTAGTTGCCAAGCAGTGCTTTTATGACTCTGAACAAAAGCTCACTCCTCCTGTCATGCTATGCATCTTGATAGTAGGAAGTAAGTAAAGGTAAATATGTGAAACTATAAGTATCTCACCTTAGTTGTTGTGTACGAAGGCAAATGTCTGAGGTGACAGTCTGAGTCTGTAGCTATCTAAATAGTGCAAGGGCTCTTGTGTGAATAAATAAGTATATGAAACTGTAACAAAAGATATATGGTGCTGGCCCATGCGGTCAATAGATTCAGTAAGTACAAAGTAAAAAGTGAATATTTAAGACTGAACAATGGAAATATCTGAGTCGTTGGGTTGAACTAATCAGAAGATACAAATAATGAAGCGCCTCAGCTGCAGGTGCATTTGCTTAATCCCAACATCTATTTCTTTCCACTGTTGCTCCGTTTCTTCCTTGAGGTGATCAACATCATCACTGATAATGTGAATGATAGTTTGCCAGTAATGAACCTCCTCTTCCAAGAGGTCTATATAAGAGCAAATCTGTTCCACCTGCTCCTTGTGCCATCTTTGCACCTCCTTGCATTCCCACTGCAAGTAGTTCCTCTGATACCATACATGATCAAGCATTACTTGTAGCTCCTGCATGTCCTGATGCATAATTGATTGTAGGGTGGGTGATTGTAAATTTGCAATGTCCAGATCCTCTTCATCCTAAACTATTTTGTTCATTATTACAATGAAAAAGAATGCAGATGTACCTTATATGTTGTCCCATCGATTTTTATTTCATTTGTGATACACTTCATGAAGCTTGACATAGAGTGGTCTTCCTGGGCATGATTTTTACTGATAGACAAGTGTATTGTTTGTATGAAGATGGCTAAAGCTTTTGGTAAAATTTGAATGAGGATTGTCAATGCCTCTGCTGAACAGAGTATTGCACAGAGGACACACAAAGTATTGTTGTATATTAAGTAAGTAATCTTAAGTAAGCCAAATTTTACTGTGCCATTTGTTTGCTCCATAGTCTTTGTGATATCAACAGGAATATCATACTGCAGCACCTATGCTGACCATATATGAAGTGAAAATTGCCTCTAGATGAAATGTCCCATAATCAAAACATGTGAGGCAGTGGATCTGGCATACAGAACTAGTGTGAATATATGCTGCATGCTGATATACTTCCGCAGCTAACATTCTGATACATCATCATAGATGTTACCCTTTTGTCACTGATTCATTGTCTGACAAACAGGAATAATAAGACAAACAAATGATTGATCATGACATTCACAAAGGATATGTATCATGCTTTCAATCATTGGAGACTCAGAATGTCAAAGACAAAAAGATGGCGATTAACACATAAACCAATGTAAGAATCATAGGCTAGGGCACCCAAAGATTGAAATATTATTGATTGCAACTAGTAACTATAAATGCACTCACAACAGCAAGATTGGTAGTTGAAGCAGACATTGGCATGTGGAAGCTGACTATGCTGATTGCATCTACACTCCTAGGTATTGTTGCTGCTGCTGGATGCACAAGCATGTTTTTAGTTCTGTGCTAAATCATAAGTTGCTGAAAACATAATTCAAAAGCACATTGATGTCAGACAATCCAGCAATAAATCCATATTAATAAATAAGAGCTCCACTAAAATATAATAAAAATAGAGTTATTTCTAGTACTAGAGCAACCTGCTCTTTGTTTCTCATGAGGAACGAAACATAGAACTATTGTGGGCAGAGATGCAGAACAGAAACACCATAACCGCCAGAGCAAGCTGCCCTGTGTTCCTATTAGGAATGGAACACAGGACCATCATATGTGAAAGGGCAGATCCAAATGTGCCTAAATAGTTGTCAATGCAAAGCGACAAAAGGAAGACTTATAAAATGTGTGGTCCATGATATTCCAACTTGATTTGAGCAATATTCACATGGCAGGCTACAATGGTTGAGAAAATTTGTTAAGAAGGTTAGACAGGTCACTGTCAGTAACAATGGAACACCCATGAGGCATGAAACCCATCATGAAGATAAGAGGAAAGAAGTATTAGAGGAAGAGTTGCGTCAGTTGAAGATATATGAACATCATGTCATGTGACTTTCTCATGCCACATTTATCCATGGAGAGTTGAAAACCTTAATATTAATGGTCCTTGTTGTATGGTAGAAAAAAAGTCTAGTATTTAGTTAATGCACTTTGAAGAGAAATAGTGAGAGAGAAATACATCTTGAGAGTTTCAAAGGTTCTATGGACAAACTTGAGGACCTTGATACCATTGTGATACAGCTTGCTGAGAAGGTAAATTGATTGACATTACAAAGTCGATAATCAGTTCAGTTGAAGCCATGGATGGAAGGACTCACTCAGGCAAACCATATGGGGACATTTGTGTTGCTATTAAATTCTTTATTGTGCAGGAAGAGATCAAATTATTTCCTCTCTTCTTTTGAAATCGTCCAGTTGCACAATTGGATAGTTCATGAACCTCTCATGGGATCAACAAAGATCGGAGGGCCTTTAAAAGTGGGGTAATGTTTTAAAGTGCCTATCCCTCCTCAGACACAGTATGTAACAACAGGTGTGTTTTTTCATATACTACAAACAACTCATCTCACAATATACACACATGTTTCTCCATACTCATTTTTTATTCCACTTGCATTGTTGGTACTTCATTCAGCCAGCTGCAATCCTCCACTCCATGACCAACCTCATCAATTCCAATGAGTTAGTTGAACTAAAGAGAATACATCAGTGTTTAGTGCATAAGTCACAATAAAACTGATTACAATTTCAGGCATTTCCTAGAGATTGTCTGGTAGCACGACTTTGGAGCAAATCCTCTTCCTACATTATTGTAATTGGCATACCCATTTTGGATGTCACTCAATAATAAGCATTGATGTCCTTGTACAGGAGCCAATTAGCACTGGTTGTCGCAGAAAATATGTAGAGGGAAAGACATACCTTTGGTTGGTTATGGCAGCCTTACTCTTTCCTCAGCCAATTCCCAGATCAGCATGTCTCCCTGTCCTAACTTCGCCCAGCTCATCCACTGCATAGGAAGCAGCACAACTTGAGGATCGTGGATTCCATATCTGTTCAACCACATAGTGACATGTTTATGTGTTTCACTAACCTGCAACCCAATCACTTGCGGTGTTACATTACTGACAAGGCACTTCACCAATTCCCATAACTAGAGCCATGATAATGTGAGTGTTGAGATTTGTTAGATTATGGAATATGTTTGATTATTTGATGGCCATTATACAATTGACATCCATGACAATGGTCAATGATCTCAATAGTAGTGCATCCAGGGCATGCAGGAGATGGGATAGATCTTCACTAAACACTTCAGTATCAACTGCAAGTGATAGACATGTGATATATTTGCAAAGTCCTAGCAGGTTGATTAATGTAGACTCACCTACAGAACCAAAGATGCAAATAAATTTGATCGATCTTTGCACAAATTCCATGGGCATCAGATGCAGCTACATGCTTGAGAGGAATTGCTTCGCCCTGTATTCACCATGGAGCATGATGCTACTATATAGCATTCATTCCATCCTACGACAGTGGTCAGTTAGTTAAACACAGTTTTTGTGGATATTAAAGCTAACTGCTCACCAGGGATGTGTGCACTGCAAGACATGCAAGTTTGAGGCCATGTACTGTCTCCAATGACTAGCAAGAGCCAATATATTTTGCAGTATTTTTAGTGGAAGTTGTGGAACCATGATCGATGAGATGGGCCAGCATAATATAACTACCGTTGCATTGCTATATATTCCCAATGAGCAAACACATGTTATGCTGTTTGTATATTGTGCCTGACATGCAATAGCCTTCATGTTTGGTTCATTGTAAGTCACCTCCATTTAGCCTGTCACGGACTGCACATATTGTTCATGTAGTGGGACATTGTTCCACATATCAACCACATGCCTGTATTCAAATAAAAATGACAAATAGCATGTATGGTCCACATAATGCAATTTTCCAAGACCTCTATGGAATATTGCATGAGGAGCACATGAGGAGATATAGCCTGTCATATATTGTATCAACAGAGCCACTTCATTATGTCATTAATGCAATATTTTGCCAAAATTATGGTTGCAATAACAGCAACACATTTTTGTCCAGATATCTGATGACCACATTGCCTCAACAGAATGGACCTACTATATTCCCATGTTCTAAATACTTGCAAGAGTGTTTTGAACCGCAATGATGTCTTGTTTATATATATGTATATGTAAATGAGGAAATTTCTAATACACCACATTTTGTCCTTGTTTGTTTCACATCCATTGTATTTTTGATGACTGAGTGGCACATTTAATGTCAACCACCACCACCACCACCATGGACTCTCAATTTCCACTGGAAATCCTGCAGGCTTGGCTTCAGCTCATGTGCTGTGCCCCTTACCCGAGTACATGCCCCTAACTTCCGAGGGCTAATGGACGACGTCCAGAGTCCGGAGTCCGATGCACAGGAATTCCGGCAGACGTTCAGAAACAAGTGATAAGACTAATCTGGACGATGTCCAAATTAGAAGGGAACGGCGGAGGACTACCTAAGGTAGAGGCAAAGGTGGTGAGTCTATAGGAGTCAATCCTAGGACTGTTGGAGACGACGAGAAGAGACTTCAAGTCGGATGGAGGAGGGAATGAGCAGAGTCTAAGATAATATTCGAACTGAGGAACTACAAGGATTGTATAGGGTTTATATACTACTGAGGACATAACGGAGAAACAGTCAGTGCAGTGCGAGGCTATGCGAGGCTATGGACAGAGCATGTGGGACGACTATCACTAGTCTATCAGAACTTAGTAAAATGAAGACAGAAATGAATAAGGGATGGAAAATAAAGCATACTAACTGATAAGAGAAATACTAAAGGGAAAAGGCACGGAAGATAGGAGCTGACCGGATCTGGAAGTCCGGAAGTTTTGGAGATGATTGTGTGATTGGTCCGGGTCCAGAATGCAGGATATGATACTCTCACAACTTGCTTTCCACAAGACGCCGCCCAAACAGTGAGGGTGTCACATTGGACACATCCATGGTGAGGATATCATTCAATGTCATAAATATTGTTTTAGATTGATGATCATGGAAGGATTGAAGGATTGATGTATCAAAAGATTAATCTTTCCAAGGAATACAAAATGAAGGAATTCACGGCATGTCTTTGGCTGTGTCCAATGCCTGTCCAATTTGCAAAAACAGCCATTATAGCACTGTTTCTAGATGGTATTATGGATGCCTTGATGGTGTTGGAGATTCTCTCCCTTTGCAGTGGCATCAAACACCTGGCTTTAATAGTTAATATATATTTCATCCCAGATGATCAGTCATCAATATGGCTTGCATTGGAATATATGCCTCTCAGGTCCTTGGCTCTTTACATGGGCATAAGCTTCATCAAGTCCATTGGCACATTTAGCGGTCTCAGCCACATTACCCATGTCAATCTCATGGACAGCAAGGTGCTCACAAAGCCTGATATAGGCTTAGATGCCCTACATTCTTTAACTCACATTTCTCTGATGCTTAATGTTCATCGGTCTCATCCAGTAGCAATCTTGTATCTTGTTAATAATGCACGCCTATGTGTCATAGTGTTTCATGTGAAATATTCGCACGGGGACGTCAAATATTTCCTACAAGATTCAGAGATCAAAGATGGAAGAATTGTAATGTTGCCTACTGGGATGATCAAGTAGTGTGGGATTGGACAAAGGGAGATGTTATTTTGGGAATTACTAGATGAATGGGTCAG